CATTGTGGTAGGAAAAGATAATAGCATTTCAATCTTAAACTTATTGAGGCTTGTTTTGTGGATTACCATATGATCTGTCCTGGAGAAGGTTCTATGTACACTTGAAAATAATGTGTATTCTGTTTTTGGATGGAATGTTCTGTGTATAGGTTAGGTCCATATGGTCTAATGTATTGTTCAAAGCCATCATTTCCTTTTTTCTATCTGGATCATCTATCTTTTGATGTAAGTAGGGTGTTAACGTCCCTTACTATTATTGTATTACTGTCAATTTCTCTGTTTATGTCTGTTACTATTTGCTGTATATATTTAGGTGCTCCTATGCTGGGTGCATATTTACAATTGTTATGTTTTGGATTCATTTATCATTTATGTAGTGTCCTCCCTTGTCTCTTGCTACAGATTTTTGTTTTTTGTTTTTTTGGGTGGTCAGGAGAATGCACACATTTGGAAGGAAGGGAGAGAGGGAGAGAGTTTAAGATTTATTTTAGAGTGTGGGGTAGGGGTGGGGGTAGAGGGAGAGGCAGTGAGAATCATAAGCAGACTCCATGCGGAGTACAGAGCCTGACACTGGACTCGACCTCATGAACTTACCCCAAAACAAGAGTCAGACATTCAACTGACTGAGCCACCCAGGTGCCCCACAACAGTCTTTTTTGTCTATTTATCTGATAGAAGTATTGATTGCTACCTCGGCTTTTTTTTTTGGTGGTGGTGGGGGCTTGTTTTCATTTTCATGGTATATTTTTTTCCATCCGTTCACATTCAGTCTGTACATGTCTTTGGGTCTAAAGTGAGTCTCTTGCAGGCAGCTTATAGATGACTCTTGTTTTTTAATCTATGCAGTCACCCTATGTCTTTTGATTGAAGAACATTTAAAGTAATCATTGCTGAGTATGTATTTACTGCTGTTAATTATTTTCTGGTTGTTTCTATAGTTCTTTTCTGTTCCTTTCTTCTTTTGCTCTTTTCCCTTGTGAGTTTGATGGCTTTCTTTAATGTTTATTTTTTGTGTATCTATTATAGATTTTTGATTCGTGGTTATCATTTGGTTCATATATAGTATCTTATATGCATAATCTATATTAAGTTGATGGTTAAGTTTGAACACACTCTGGGACACCTGGGTGGCTTGGTGATTGAGTGTCTGTCTTGGGCTCAGGTCATGATCCCAGGGTCCTGGGATCGAGTCCCCCCATCAGGGTCCCCACAGAGAGCCCGCTTCTCCCTCTGCCTATGTCTCTGCCTCTCTCCCTGTACCTCTCATGAATAAATAAAATCTTAAAAAGAAAAAAAGTTTGAACACATTCTTAAAGCACTACATTTTTACTTGCTCCATATGTTTTATGTATGTGATGTCATATTTTATATCTTTTTGTGTATCCTTTGACTAATTTTTATAGATATAACAGATTTTTACTACTCTTATGGTTTAACCTCCATATTGCTCTTCAAATGAATAATTAATATTTTTACTATATATTCGCTTTTACTTGTGGAATTTTTTCCTTTCATAATTTTCTTCTAATTATGGCCTTTTCTGTCCACTTAAGAATTCCTTTAACATTTCCTGTAAGGCCGGTTTAGTGGTGATGAAATCCTTTAACTTTTGCTTGGGGAAACTCTCTATATATTTCTAATGATAATCTTGCTGGGTATTCTTGGTTGTACGTTTTTTCTTTTAGCACTTTGAACATATTATGCTACTTCCTTCTGGCCTACAAAGTTGGTGCTAAAAAAACAGCTTTCAAATACCCCTTATGGGGTATCTCTTGCATGTAACTGTTTTATTGTTTTTAAAACTCTGTTTATCATTACCTTTTGCCATTTTAATTGTGTCTTGGTATGGATCTCCTTAAGGGCTATCTGTGCTTACCAGATTAGGGAAATTTTCTGCCTCTTTCTCTCTCTCTTCTGGGATCCCTATAATGCAAATGTTATTATGCTTGATAATGTCACCAAGTGCCCTTAACCTGTTTTCATTTTTTATTTTTATTTTTGCTGTTCAGCTTGTTTTCCATCATGCTGTCTTCCAGGTCACTGATCCATTCTTCAGCACCCTCTAATCCACTGTTGATTCCTTCTAGCATACTTTTTCTTTCAGTTGTTGAATTCTTCACCTTTGACTGGTGTTTTTTTCTTTCTTTTTTTTTTTTTTTTTAAGAGAAATAGAGGGGCAGCCCAGGTGGCTCAGCGGTTTAGCACCGCCTTCAGCCCAGGGCGTGATCCTGGAGACCCGGGATCGAGTCCCATGTTGGGCTCCCTGCATGGAGTCTGCTTCTCTCCCTCTGCCTGTGTCTCTGCCTCTCTCTTTTTTAAAGACTTTATTTATTTATTCATAAGAGAGAGAGAGAGAGAGAGAGAGAGAGAGAGAGAGAAATAGAGAGCAAGAGTGGAAGTGAAGAGCCTAATGGGACTTGATCTCACCACCTGAGCTGAAACCAAGAGTCAGACACTTAACCTATTGTGCCACCCAGGCGCCCCTCTGACTGGTTCTTTTCATAGTTTTTCTTTGTTCAAATTCTGAGTTTGTCTACTTTTTTCTCAAGTCCAGTATCTTTATGACCATTACTTTGAATTCTTTATCAAGCATATTGCTTCCTGATATCTTCTGAATTGTTTTAATGCTTTTAGTTTTGAATCCTTTTTCTCTGACATTGCTCTGCCAGTTTTTTGGAGTAGCTTTCTTTTTGTTAATAATGTTCAGTTTAGTTTTTTGTAACTTTCAGCTGTCCTATACCATTTTGTTTTAGGTGTCTCTAAACTGTTATAGCTGTGATTATTTTTTTGAACCTATTCATAGTTATTGTGATGACTTACCTTAGAACTTGTTCACCTATTTCTTTTAAAACTTCGTCTTAACTGAATTTATCAAGTTTTCTTTGTTTAGCAAAGTCTAATGTTAAGCTAATGTCTATTTCTTCCTCTCAAAACAAAGACTGACATGCTTCCACTTCTTCCCCAAACTGATTTAAAAATTTAACACTCAGAACTTTTGTTAAGTTTTATTAAATTTACTTCATTATTCTTTTATTTCAGTTGTTTTTTCTAAATTAGTTTCTTTCTTCACAAAGTAGTTTTTCCAGGAAGCATGTGTGGTTGATAAACTTTGAGTATTTTTATGTCTGAAATGATACTTGGCTATATATAAAATTTTAGGTTATTGATTTGTCATCTTGTATCCGAAGGGTTGTTGATCAGAAGACATATCTGATTAAGGTAAATCTCCTTATAGTTTAAGAACTTTTCTTTGATTTTTTTATATTGACCCTTTTTTGCCAGGATTTTAAAGTGTGAGCTCTTTTATGAGTTTTGTGAAAATGTCTTTTTTCCCAGATAATGCTTTAACTTTGAACACATGACCTCCCTTTTCTCCAGCTCAATCGAAGCCTGCCTAGGTGAGTGAAGGCTGCCTAGGGGAATGTTCATCCTGGAATGCCTCAGCAAACTGTACCTAGAAACCCTGTTCCAACTTCTAATGTGGCACTGCTATAACGCTACTTTCACAGTTCGACTGTTTCACTCCTCATTCCAATTTGGTACTCCAGCCCCTAGTTTTTTTTTTTTTTTTTTTTAAGATTTTATTTATTCATGAGAGAGAGGGGCAGAGACAAAGGCAGAGGCTCAACTGCTGAGCCACCCAGGTGTTCCAGTTTTTATCTTTAAGAAAACCAAAGTTTCTGTGAACTACCCAGTTTGAGGCCAGTTCAGGTAAGAATAAACTAGAGTTTTCTTCAAAATATGTTTAGTTAAATACCTTCAGCTAAAGCCCACTGGATGGATTGTGAGGTTCAGAAAGCATCCTCGTGCTTATGCATAACTGCATTTTCTCCATTGGGATACAAAGGTGCAAAGGCTTTAGTACTGAGGCTGCTTCCTTACCATACCCAGCATCTCAGTGAATTTCTTAACCTTTTGGTCTCCATTCTCTTCATTTGTAATGACGGAATGCTAATCCTCACAGTTCCTTAATAAATTAAAAGTAGCTATAGGGACGCCTGGGTGGCTCAGTGGTTGAGCATCTGCCTTCGGCTCAGGTCGTGATCCCAGGGTCCTGGGATTGGGTTCCACATAGGGCTCCTTGCAGAGAGCCTGCTTCTACCCCTGACCTATGTCTCTGCCTCTCTCATGACTAAAAAAAAAAAAAAAAAAAAAAAAAAAGTGCCTATAAAATGCTTACTGCAGGAGCATCTGGGTGGCTCAGCCGGTTAAGCATCTGCCTTCAGCTCAGGTCATGATCTTAGGGTCCTGGGATCAAGCCCCATGTCAGGCTCCCTGCTCAGTAGAGAGACTGCTTCTCCCTCTCTTCTCCTACTCCTCCCCCTCCACATATGCTCTCTCACTTTCTCTCTCAAATAAAATCCTTTTTTTTTGTAAAAGATTTTATTTATTTATTCATAGAGACACACACAGAGAGAGAGAGGCAGAGACACAGGCAGAGGGAGAAGCAGGCTCCACGCAACAAGCCCGATGTGGGACTCGATCCCGGGTCTCCAGGATCACACCCCAGGCTGCAGGCGATGCTAAACCGCTGCTCCACCGGGGCTGCCCTCAAATAAAATCTTAAAAAAAAAAAAAAAAAAGGAAAACCTTTTAAAATGCTTACTGCAAAGCCTGAAATAGACTAGTACTCAATAAATGATAGCTACTATTTGTCCTGGATTTGCCATTGACTAGGATTCCAGGTCTCAGTTTCTCCATCTATACAATAAGGTTCACACAAATTGATGGTCTCCAGTCTCCCCTAACTGTACCACTGTATGACTAGTTAGCCATTAATATTGGGGTTATAAAAAGAATAAGATGCTTAAAAACAATTTGGACACAATCATTTTCTAATCAGCAGTTGTGTCATTTTCTAGATATGGACTCCCTATAATGGAAATAGGGATATTCTCTCACAAAGTTAGAGCCACATGGCCTTAGACTAATCTAAATCCCTCATTTTACAGCCAGATGAAAACTAATATGGCACCTTGGTAGTGACAACTTGAACCTACCAGTTTGATATGCAGCTTCTGCTGCCATCTCCGAAAGACCAAGTGCAGTCAGCCAAGTCGTTTCCAACTTCAAGTATTCTTGTTGTTTTGAAGTCATCTGTAAATTAAATACAACACTTGAGACAACATGAAGAGGTTAATAATAAGTACTTTAAATTAGCTTATTCAAAATAGATTTAGAGAAGAGTTACTGTTAGTAGACATCTCTGTATTAGTGCCCCTACCTCACTGTGGTATCTAACTTTTTCCTTACCTCAACTCTGGCTCCAATGATCACCTGCCACACTTCATCTTCCTCCTGCGAATTCATCTTCCCAAGTAAACTTGTGTATTGTCGATACAGAGAAATTAAGGTATAAACAGCCTACAAATACAGAATAAATAAATCTGAGTAAAATAAGAGAGGCATATTAAGATTAGTGAGGTTTACATGTCAAGGAGATTAGAGTCTGACTCTTCGAGTCCTTCTACCTCACTGAAATTGCACTACTATAGGAGGTACAGGCATTTTTCCTGGACATAAGTACTGCTACTTGTCAACTTCTGTGTTTCTAAAAGCTTGTTAGCAATTCAGACACAGAAAGACAACACAAAGTAGAGGGAAAACTCAAAGTGAAGGGGAAAAGCTGCTGAAAAATGAAGGTACAACAAACCTATAAATGATCTGATTATCCAGATACCTATTAGCTCAGATAAGTGGTTTTTAAGCTATCCCCACCAAGAAGCTGCTGGTGCTGCAAGTGGTAGACTCTAGACCTCTTTACCCTAACTGAACCCAATTAGTTAGGTTCCTGTGTCTTATATACTGGGCTACTATATTTAAAGATTTTTCTTTTAAAAAGGGTTCCTGAAAAAGTTTCAAAAACCACTGATTTAGGTCAAGGGCTCAGACAACTTCTGTAAAGGGCCAGAGTAAATATTTTGGGCTTTATGGGCCCTATAGTCTCTCTTACAACTATTCAAATCATGAAAGCAGTCACAGACAGCGTTTGGACAAATAAGCCTGGCTACAATCCAATAAAACTATAAAAACAAGCATCACGCTAGATTTGGTTTACAAGCCATAGTTTGGTAACCCCTGGTTTAGATGATCAAGATGTTACAAGAAGATACTTACCTTAGTATATTCAGTGATTGCTTCAATCAATGCATATGTGGTCTGAGAGAGAAAGGTAGAGGTGCTATCTGTTACCAAAGACACAGCCCTCCTCATTAATGCATCGTTACTAAGAGAATGAGGCTCCAATTTCTGAAAGACACAAACATTTTCACTTAACTTGTAGCCTAAAGCTCAAACCAAGAACTTCAACTTCAACACGGTCAAGTGAAAAACACTTCTCACACTGCAACTGCTTATTTTTAGGCTTTGTTTTTGCTATTAAAACAATATATGGAAATAATTCCAGAGTATGCTTTCTATCTACTTTTATTCTTTATGTTGTGCTCCAAAAGGCCAAATATTTATCTGAAATAAAAGTCTAGTAATTATAACCAACATTTAATTAAGTTACAATTCATTCATTATCACAGTGCCAGATACTTGGGATATGAACATATGTAAGATATATTCTCCATCCTCAAAGATTTCAGATGGGGAAGGGGAAGAGCTGAGGCGAACAGAGAACTTGGAAATTAATGTAATCAAGTACCATGACAGCTGTAGCAGAAGTCTGTATAAGTATCTTTTTTTTTTTTTAAGACTTTATTTGAGTCAGCATGTGTGCATGAGGGAGAGGGAGAAGCAGACCCTCCGAGCAGGGAGCCCGATGTGGTGCTTGATCCCAAGATCCTGAGATAATGACCTGAGATGAAGGCAGACACTAGAATGACTGAGCCACCCAGGCGCCCCAGAAGTCTGTATAAGCTACAAGTAGGGGCACACATAAGAAAACAATCACTTCTATGTTGAATAGCTTAGAAAAGGCTTCACAGAACTGATGAGGGATAAGCTGAGTCTAAGAAAGTAAATGGGTGGATGAGGGAGAGCAATTCTGAGCAAAATGAGCAGTATGGTGGTCTTTGGTAAGGGCTGGGAGCTCTTCACTCTGACCACCACTATTATGTTAAAAAAAAAAAGCCAATATAACTATTTCAAGAGTTAAGGAAATGTGGCCACCTTAACTAAATACAGGTATTCTCTGCTTTCTGAAAGTCTGCATTGTCTCTTTGCTTTTAAGGTACTTGACTGCATTAATACATGATTTCAATAACCAAAAGAAGTCCAGGAAGGATTTTCAAGTTTACAAAGAAGAAAAAAGAAGTTACTGTACTAAATGTCATTTGTAAAAAGCATAGTGCCCTAACATGGGCTTTTGGAAAGATACTCTTCACTTTATGCTGAATTATAAAAGGTTTTACAGGGGTGCTCTACTTTCAAGTCATCCCTGACTCTGCCTTTTCCTTCCTCAGCAGAGCATTTACTGTATCAGAACAAAGAAACCAATTCCTCTAATCATATGCTGTCTTTTCTATTTAGAGTATAAACCCATAAATCACTGGCTTTTGAAAGTAGCAATCAAGAAGTCTTGGACACATGAACAAATCCAGGATTTTATTTACTATATTTATCTTTCATTCTATCAAGTATTCATATGTACCTTGCATTGAAGGTACAAAAAGACTGGAAAGAATATTATTTCTACTCACTGGAAGCTAATTTTGATATATTCTAACTTATGTCTTCATAATGCATTTTATTTTAATCTCAACACTGGGCTTGATCCCACAACCCTGAAATCACAATTTGAGCCAAAACCAAGAGTCAGACGCTTAACCAACTGTGACACCCAGGCACCCCCATAATGCATTTTCAGTGCATTTTCACTGGTTCCTCGCAACAGTCCAGGTATCAGCACTTCTTTTTTACAGATGAGGAAACAGAAACTCAGAATAGTTACATAAACTTTCCCCAAAAGTCACATATCCAGATCTCAAACCACATGTTTGTCAACGTTTGTACCCTTTCCGTTATGCTCTGACTCAGGAGAGTGCCAGATAATCATCAAATATCAAAATATACATGTGGTCAGAAAGAGGAAAATCACTGTTGGCCAGAAGCTCTGAAAGGCTTTAAAAAAGAGGTGGGACTGGGATCCCTGGGTGGTGCAGTGGTTTAGCGCCTGCCTTTGGCCCAGGGCGCGATCCTGGAGACCCAGGATAGAATCCCACGTCAGGCTCCTGGTGCATGGAGCCTGCTTCTCCCTCTGCCTATGTCTCTGTCTCTCTCTCTCTCTCTCTCTCTCATAAATAAATAAAAAAAATTAAAAAAAAAAGAGGTGGGACTTGGGTCTAAAGACAGCTAGGGTGAAAACTGTCAGGCAGCCTGGGGAAGAAATAATGAGAAAACAAATACATCTGTTGCATGCAGGGGATGTTCACGAATCTGGTTACCAGATGGCACAGGGGAGGTGAGAGAGCAAGGAGGTAGGAGTACAGGGAGAGTTAGCTGGGTTTTAGTTCTGCAACCCAATGGAGAGCTGCTGCCAGTTTTGAAGAGCAGAAATGGAACTGCCATTCCTACAGGATAATAACCTGAGGCTCCTGTCATGTGGTCCAGAACTGAGGTAACCGAGGCTTAAGAAAAGTGTATGAACTGAGAAAGGACAAACCCAAAAAATTCTTCTGAAGGTAAGAAGAAAGGCTATCTTAATCGTGGCAGAAACCAGCCTGGTGTTAAGTAAGGGTTTTAGGGTTAACAATTCATGAACAAGCAGCAGAGATGAGGTCTGGTGTGAGGAACAAAAAGATGCAGGCTCATGAGTCAGCTAAATGGAACTGATCTTCTTGTGATAAACACACACAGGTAAGTATCAGTAATATTTTGCCAAAATGGGGTTTGCTAATATCCTATTTAGGAAACTCTTTCCCAGAAAGCATATAACCAGTGATCTTTTTATCATACTTTCATATCACAGGTGCCACTTTCATATCACCTACTTGACAACGCCCCCTAGATGTCTACTAGACATGTTAGACCATTATTCCAAAACTGAACTCTTGATTTCATCTTCCCAAAGCCCACTCCCTTCCACTCTAATAAATGACAACTCCAGGGCAGCCCAGGTAGCTCAGCGGTTTAGCGCCGCCTTCAGTCCAGGGCCTGATCCTGGAGACCCAGGACCAAGTCCCACGTCAGGCTCCCGGCATGGAGCCTGCTTCTCCCTCTGCCTGTGTCTCTGCCTCTCTTTCTCTCTCTCTGTGTCTCTCATGAATAAATGAAAAAAATCTTAAAAAAAAAAAAAGGTAACTCCATCCTTTCAGTTCCTTAGGCTTTTTTAAAAACCTTGGAATATATTCCACATTCAACCCATCAGTAACTCGTGCTGACCACATCTGGTCCACTTCTCCCCACCTACACTGTTGCCTGTCCACTCCAAGCCTGGACTAGAGCAACAATGTCCCACTGGTCTTCCTAGTTCCACACAACAACCTTTAAAAACTTCTGTGAGATCATAACAGCCTTGTATTAAAATCCTCTGCGGTTTCCTTTTCAGAATAAAATTCAAAGCCTTACAATGGTTCAAAAGGACGAAACAGTTGGATCCTTAGCTTTTTCTGGTCTTCTCTATTATGCTCTTTCTCATTCCAGCCACATTAACCTTTTTGCTGTTCATCAAATATATCAAGTATACACACCTGCTTCTAGGTTTTTGCACTCAAGTTCCTTCTGGTTTTATTCTAGCACTCCCTATACTTTTACCCAATTTGTTCCCTACATAAGCACTCATCATAGCACTTTATATTTTTCTCCTCTTCCTTTTCCCTAGAATGTGGGTGTTTTGCTTTTGTTTATTTGGGGTTTTTTTTTTTTTCTTTTTTTTTTTTAAATTTTTATTTTATTTATGATAGTCACAGAGAGAGAGAGAGAGAGAGAGAGGCAGAGACACAGGCAGAGGGAGAAGCAGGCTCCATGCACCGGGAGCCTGACGTGGGATTCGATCCCGGGTCTCCAGGATCGCGCCCTGGGCCAAAGGCAGGCGCCAAACCACTGCGCCACCCAGGGATCCCTTTTTTTTTCTTTTTTGAGAGAGAGAGAAATAGGGAGCAGAGAGAGAGAGGAAGCATCTTAAGCAGACTCCATGCCCAGGGCAAAGCCCTGTGCCAGGCCAATATGGGCCAGATCTCACTACCCTGAGATCATAACCTGGGCCTAAATCAGAGGCAGATGCTTGTGGTGCCTGGGTGGTTCAGTCAGTTGAACTTCTAACTCTTGATTTTGGCTCATGATCTCAGGGTACTGGGATTGAGCCCAAGGTAGGGCTCTGTGCTCAGTGAGGAGTCTGCTTATCCTTGTCCCTCTCCCTCTGCTCCGCCACCTCCCACCACTTTCTAAAATAAGTAATAAAACCTTTAAAACTTAAAAAAGTCAGAGGCTTAACTGACTGAGCAACCCAGGGACCCCACCCCAGAATCTAAGTTTTATGAGAGAAGCAACTGTTTTTTTCTTACATTTCCAGCATATGGCACATTAAAAGTTGCTCAATAAATTTTTGTGCATGGAAGACTGTTTTGACGATAAATTCCAATATCCTCATCTTATTACTGTTTTTTCTCTATACAATTTGATCACCTTGACATATTGTTCCTACTAAATGGGACAATTTGCTCAGCTATGAAAAGATGATACTGGTATGGGAGAAAGTGAACCATTCTTGGGTGTGGGAGCACTGGATAACACTTAGAGCTTGTCTGATGGTTCACTGCCACGCTGAGATTTCAGGAAGGCACAGCACACTAAGAAACACCCAGTGACACTACAGTATTTTTACCTGTGCAATAGGAACTGCACACAAGGTCACACCAAGTCCAACTGCCACAGTTTTGTGCCATGGTCTTATCAATTCTGAGAAGCAGCGCTTCTTAAAGTCAGCCACGACAGGAACACACTGCCTGTACCTAGAAACACAAGTCAAATTTAGGAAGGCGGTAACTACCAATCTGTGGGTTCCTTCAATTTGCAGGGGTGAGAAACTCACACCGGCCAAGCGGAAGCCCACACGAAGGCGTTGGGTCCCTTCAAGATCACAGGGCCCGTGGGGGGGGGGGGGCGTGCCAGACTGGAAAGCCCCAGTTCGTTGGAAGGAGGAACTTCCACCCAACTCCCAGGAGCCCCGGCCGCGCCGGAATGCTGGTCCAGGGGTTTCGGAGTTCAACCGAGAACAGGCGTTCAAATTTAAAAGGCGGTCCCAAAGCTTTTTAAAAACCTCGGGCCAAAATGAACGCTGCTGTAGGGAGCGCTTAGCTCTGGACCTCTGTCCCCAGTAGGCTACACCTGGAGCCCGCGGCCACCAGGGCCGCGCGGGGACAGAGCTGCTCTCCTGCTCGCAGGGAAAACTTCCTCTCACAACCCGCCGCTCGCCCGGGCCGACCCCATCTCCCTCCAGTGTCGGCGATCGGCCAACGAACTCGCCGGCAGGCCCACGCGCCCCAGGAAGCCAGCCTGAGCTCGGGGCGGGGGGGGGGGGCACTGGCGTTCAGCCAGTGGAATAATGGAGAAGCCGTCAGTGAGCAGTAACCCCTGGACTTCGCCGAGGGGGCGGGAGGCAGAGTCCCGACGTTCTCGGACCTAAGAGGGGCGGGACGCCGCGGCCCTCTCGGCCGTGGAGCGAAACGCGCGCCTGCTAGGCCGACGCGCTCCCTGCGGCGCCTCCCCCTTGCGGTGCTGCCCTCGTACCCCACCACAGCGGTACCTGAACAGGGAGGCTACGCTCCGCGACAGCCAGCTCCTCAGAGCCGCCATCCTGTGACGGCCGGACGCCAGACGCACACGCCGGAAGTGACGCCACTTCAGGAACGGAGGAAGGGGCGCGGCCTCTTCTTGAGGGGGCCAGGCCACATGACCACACCCCCGCCCGAGGGAGCCGTCGGGATTGGACAGGAGGGAGGGCGAGGGCGGGGCTTAGGGTAACGGCCGTAACGGCTGCTGCGAGCGCCCAACGGCCGGAGCTTCCGCGCGGGTCCAGGCGCGTCCTGGGCCTGAGGGCGAGGAGCGGGCGGAGCGGAGTCGGCCGTCGTGAGAGGAGATTGGATTCCACCCCGGGCGAGGCCGTGCCTGGAGAGGGAGCCCGGGTCCGGGCGCGAGGCGCGGAGTTCTCCCGTCAGCGTTTGGAGCTTGTCGGCCGCGGGGGCGGGGCAGCGCGCGGTGGGGCTGGCGGCTGGGGGCGGGCGCGGCGGGGGCGGGGCTGCGGGCGCTGTCACTTCAGCACCAGGAAGTAGGTGGTCCAGCCAGCCAGCAGCAGCGCCCCGATGAGCACCGTGTAGCTGAGGAGCACGAAGGCCAGCAGCTCCCGCAGCAGCTGCAGCACGTGGATGGTGGACGAGGCTGGCATCGCCGCGCGCGGAAGGCCCGAGGACCTATGGGGCAGGGGCACTCGGGAGTCCCTGAGCGCGCAAAGAGGACCGTCGCCCCGCAAGCTCACCCCTCCCCCCATCGGCCACGGAGCCCTTGCTGCTCAGCCAGGCGGTGTTGAAGGGGGGCTAGGCTAGGTCCTGGCCCTCCAGAGTGAACACGCTGTCCTAAGGCTGAGGAAGCCCAAAGTGCTGATTTTCTAACATTCAGCTGGACGCTGCCTCTGCATTTACATTATACAAGTCTTTTAAACCAAAAGTTCCCCCTTATTCTGTGGATCCTAATCTGGATCTGGGTTCTGGGGAGAGAGAAGCCTGTTTGTTCCCAGCCTCGGCTGCTGCATTAGTCTTCATCCCTGGCCCTCTCTCCTCCCACCCACCTCTTGCATTTTTAATGCTGTGAGTGCTGCTAATGGCTTGGTGGAGTAAGGTTTTCTTTTGCCATCACTCAAGCTGCAGCCCCAGCTGTCAGTGCTGCCTGGGAGGGGAGAAGGAGAGCAACCCATTTGGGTGGGAGAAGACAGCAGGTCTTCACTGAAGCCCCTCTACAATTCCCTGGACCCCAAGGCTTGACAACATGCAGAGTATGAGAATGTCTGACTTATGGTTCAGCACGCTTGCCCTTGTGGGTAGCCAGTATTGCAAGAATGACCAGAGGTGGGCATCAATTTAATTCTGGGCTTATCTCCTTCCCCACTATGCTCTTGTGCACCTGCTCCATTCCTGTATCTTCCACCACAGATAGAATCACATGGCAACAACCACGAACCAGCTCTTCATCTCCATTGCTGTCCTGCCCAGCAACTTCCCTCAGGGCCAGCCACTAGCTTCCTTCTCTCCCCATTTCACTCACTCAGCAAAGTTCCTACGATTCCTCCACTGCAGCAGCTCCACGGTTCCTCTCCCGGTCTGCTGTCTGAAGGTAGACGTGTGTGTACTCCAGTGATCTCGACAGAGCTGTGGGATATTCAGGCAGCAGCTGCACTCACCAACTAGGTGTGGTCTGGAGACCAATCACAGTCTCCACGTGGTCCCTGAGCAATCAGGGAGCTGCGCACAGCCCAGCCCAGGCAGGGCACTGGCAACCCTGCCTGCCCTCCACCCATTTCACCGCCATAGCCCATAGGGTTCTAAGAATGCCTGCAAAGCTCCTGACTCAGATGGGCTGATCAAGTGGTACACACTAGGGAATTTTTCATGCCACTTCTTGTCTTGCTTTTCTAAACACTGCAAGTGGGATGCAGTCCAAATCCTTTTCTAACAGGCTCACATTGAGAGGAGCCCCATCCTACTCTGAGTCGCAGGCTAGAAGAACCCCTGTACAAAGGACTTTCACTTATGATTGTCCAACTACAGCGAGGTCTGTTATCTTAACAACCATGTTTGTGTGAGCATGCATGCATAGAGAACCAAGAGCTTCTGAGTGCTTGATTCTAATTTATAGTTTAGTAGTTTAGAGATGCACTATACAGTTACATTCCCAATGAGACCACTTCCAATTTCAACTCCAAATGTGATGCAAAAAGAGCCAGTTAGCATTTCAGCAAATAAAGAACAGACCCTTTCCCAAATGTAACAATGTAGGAAAAGCGCAAACTTTTATGCTGCTTCTGATTATTTTTGCTTTTTGTTGTAGTTTGTGATTAAAGACTGTTTTTTTTGTGTGTGTTTTTTTCGACCTTTAAAATAGCAGGGAGTGTGGACATCAACCCTTTTTATCAACATCATCATCCAGAAGCAAATGGCTCCTTAATTTAATCAGGGTCTGTTATTATCAAATCATTGCCCCTGCCACAGCCCTGCTGAAAACAGGAGCAGAACATTATCAAGCTGCTCAGGAAGCCAGTAAGTAGTAATTGCCCCCCCAGAGAATTGGTCATCCAAAGGGCTTCTGTGTCCTGCCTGGTCACAGGAAAGAAAGTATGGCTAAGATTTATACCTCACCCCACACCAGAGCAACAGATGAAGAAGAGAGGCTATGAAAGTAGACTCAGTTCTGTCTGCTTTCACTTCCATGTCCTTCAAATGGATGTCTCAAAGCAGTCAGGTACTCCAGCCTCTGCAGACTCTGGTCACCACACAGTAACTGAAGCTAAGAAACATTATGTGGCTTAAAATCCAGCTGCGTTCATTTAGATACAGGAGCAACTGAGAAAGCTTACATTACTGCCTTTTTCTTAGATTGCTGGGGCTGACCAAAAGGCATCCTCTATTTTCTGTAGCAGGTCATTAAACCTATGACCGCATATAATACATCTGGCTTTAGACATAACTCAGTCTCTCTACATGATGCTGCATTTCTATGCCTTGCCATTTTTACCAGGATTCCTCTTCCTATCTGCTTTAGACACTCAGTTCACTTTTTTTAAAAGTATTTCTTCTTGAATTTCTGCTGAATACAAACACTTCCTCCTAGTGACAGGCCAATCTGTAATGTACAACTGAGAACTAGAGACAGACCAGCATGTCATGATTAATTGTAATCCATTTCTAGTGAGGGCAGAGCTATAGTGGCCAATCCCTTCCCAGTGCTCTTCAAGAATTCAACCATTACAAACACACCTCGTTTTGTTGTGCTTTCCACATATTATGTTTACAAATTGAAGGTTTGTGGCAACCTTGCATTGAACAAGTCTGTTAGCGCCATCTTTCCAACAGCATCTGCTTAATTTGTGTCTGTCCCATTTTGGTAATTCTCATGTCTCAAACTTTTCCATTATTATTATATTCGTTATGGTGATCTGTGGTCAGTGATTATAACTCCCTGAAAGCTCAGGTGATGGGTAACAGTTTTTTACCAATATTCTTTAATTAAGGGATACACGTTTTTTAAAAGACACAATGTTATTGCATACTTGAGAGATTACAGGTTAGTATAAACAATTTTTATATGCACTGGAAAACCAAAAAATCCATTTGACTCACTCTATTGCCACATTCACGTTATTGTGGTGGTCTGGAACCAAAGCCACAGTATCTCTTGGTATGCCTGTATTCTCTTGTTGTACAGTTACACTACAATTCAAATACTTCTCTGTTGGCTAAAATTCAGAAGTGTATAGTAAGACACAGAACAGTGCCTAGGTAGGCTTCTTTATCTATACAGACTTCTTTTTTAGGAGTTGCTGGCATGGTAGAACTGTCTACCTAACTAAACAGAAGTCCAGACGTGCTGTAAACAATCTGCCCTCTCCAGGAGTAAATGTATCATTCACATACCCTTTCTCAGTAAGGGCATACTCCTTTGAGACAAAGGCTGTTTCAAGTATTAAGTGAACTTACACAAAGGTGTGTCATATATAATTATCCACCACTTTCTATTTGCATATAAATAGAGCAATTGATGTTTTTAAGTCTTCTGCTAAATGCATTTTAGGAGCTGACCTAACTATGCTCTGGGCAAGCAAGTATAGAGTCACGAGTGAATGCAGACACATGAGACACAACTGAGTATCTGTTCATAGGACAAAAACCCCAGCCAAGGAGACCTGACCAGACTTGTATTGAATCCCATGAGCCAAAGACATTGAGGAACAAGGTGGATTTCATTCACTTAGGCGGCTGAAGCTGACAACAGCTGGGAATGGAAGGTATAATCTCCCGGGATAACAAGTATTTGAAAAAGGATTTTCTAAAACAGGACTAGTTTTTTAAAGACCAGTTTCCAAATACTGAATGTCAAGGCCAAATTGAATGCATGAGAGGGAGATCTTTTAAATATGACCTCTTCTCCTCATTCTTAAAGAGAACTTTTTTTTTAAATAGAATTTCTCTTTCACTCATAGCACGCAGTGTGCTACCAGAATCTCACAAAACAAAAGGAGAAAAAAACATGTGTGGTTAATGATAAACAATAGAAGCCACAACTCGACTGAGGAGGGACAATGATCTTGATCCCCCAACAGAGGGGAGACTTGGGCATGGGGTATGAAATCACCAATTTGGTCCCCTTCTTGGATTTAACTTCCAAATGTTGGGATGGAGCAGGAGGAAAGCAGGGAGCACACATGGGTTTCTAGCCTCTCCACTAACACCTTGCTCTTCTGCCCCACAGGCTAGCAGTCTCATGCAGGCTAGCAGTGACCACTGGACTTCAAGATCATCGATGAGCTGCACCAGAGGAGGCTGAGGTCACTGGACCAGGGACTGAAACGGAGCTGTTTGTTTTCAAGTAAAACAAATGCAAGAGGCTGAATGTGGCGTGGCTGCAGAGAAGTACCTGCGGCAGTTACCGTGGAGGTGGTGCTGCCAAAAGAAGCAAGACTTACTACTGCTCACAGTGGGACCAGCTGGTACTGGTGCCCACAATGGGTGGGGAAAAAAAACCCAAGCCTCAGTGGAGATATCTACCATAGAAATGTCATGGAGTGAACAACATGTGTGCTAAGAAAGTGTCTTTGAATAGTGTCTAAGCAAATTCTCAGGACCCAGCTTCCCAATCCTCGAATTCTTCAATGTAAAAAGCTCTTGAGAAATAGGAGACCCACAGAAATTAAGCTACTCAGACAGATGATACACTCTGATTTGGAGAAAGATGTCCCTCCACACCTCTTGCTCTATAGAAGCAGAGGAATAGAAAGCAGAAGGAATCAACACTTGCCTTAGTGATCACATAAGACAGAGGCTGACGACACCAAATATAATGTACCATACTCTGCAGGGAAAAGAAATCCTGACTCAATGATAAGACCAGCTCTTGCCCCAACACCTAGCCACTGCACATGGCATGATGTGCCTTCAAGAAAGCACTGTTTATCAGGAGTGAGACTTTCCACTTCTCATTTGTACCCACCAGTCCCTGCCTTCTTATTTTTAAAACTGGCCCCATTTATGCAGCTGTATAAAATTATCCATCCCCACCATCCTTAGTGCATTTTCAGAGGTCTCTAAGGAAAATCCTGAGCTTAGAACATTAACAACTTGGTGTTAGCCAGGTGGATTCTCTTCTTTTTTTTTTTTTTTTCAAGAAATTGGAAAAACAAAAAGAGCACAAAGGAGAAAACAGTGTAACTGAAGAAGCTGACCCTCAAAATAAATTCTGTATTGTTAGTTATTTTTCAATGTTTCACTTCCTTTTGGCAGCTTCTCCAAAGGAGCAGTTTCTTTTGCAGTTCACTCAAGTCGACTTTGATCACCCTAGAAAGGTTTTTCCATTAGAGATTCTATCCAGCTGGACCCATTCATTAGTTTAGTGGTGGCAATCACATATTCTGTACCTCCATCTTCCAGCTGGGAGAGAAATCGCAGGGCAGCGATTTCAGCAAAGGTTACACCCCCGAGGAAAAATATCAGAGTGACTCGGTTTTCTCCTGGCTGACCTAAAATTGAAACATTTCAGAATTGAGAATTTATTATGGGTGCCTCTCTTTCCACATTAAAAAAAAAAAAACTGCATTACAGGGGCGCCTGGGAGGCTGTTGGATGAGCGTCCAACTCTCGGTTTCAGCTCAGGTCATGATCTCAGGGTGGAGGGATTGAGCCCCACACTGGGCTCCACACTCAGTGCAGAGTCTCTCTCTCTGCCCCTCCTACCACTCTCTCTCTCTCTCTAAAAATAAATCTTTAAAAAAAAAAAAAAACCTGCATCATTGGGGTGCCTGGGTGGCTCAGTTGGTTAAAGTACCTGCCTTCAGCTCCGGTCATGATCTCAGGGTCCTGGGATGGAGCCCCAAGTCAGAAGAGAGTCTCAGCAGGGGTCTGCCTGAAATTCTCTTTCCTTCTGCCCCTACTTTTGCTCACTCTCCTTCTCTCTCTAAAGTAAATAAATCTTAAAACAACAACAAAATGGCATCATATATAAAGAAAAAAAGTTAATGGTGTCTTGGTACAGACAGCTCATTTGAAACTGAACATGATTTTGAATTCAATGATTTTTCTAAATACTGAGACCCTAAACTCAGAGGTTGAAGGCTGCTGCTCCTGAGGGAATGATGGGTTCTAGTGCTTACACTATACGTTAGCAACTAACAAGAGAGGTATACTGGACTGACTCCTGAGTGCCTTACAAACGTACTTCACAAAGCAACTCCTGATCCATGAAAACCACACCAACAGTAGGTAATCATGCGTAGACAAAGGCCACAGACTCACGTTTTTTTTGCAGTCCTGTGGGCAATGGTTGCCGTTCTTCAAAGTGGGGCCCTGGGAGTATGCGGAGAACTTCCTCGATACTGCGCCAGCCGGGCCTCGAGAGGAGCTGGGCCAGTCGCACACTGAGAGGGGCATAACCACTGTACACGTACGATATGTCCGTGGGATTCTGTTGATTGATTAAAGGGGAAAAAGCCTGTTGATATGGAGACTTTTAGAGCCACTGGACAGTGGCTTTTGGGTAACCCAAAATTATGTGATTTAGCTTTGAAGGCAGAAAGACAAACTCTGGCCACATCCTGCTCCAATTCATGCCAGCTGGGCCTGATTCTTAGCTGCCAGAGGGTCACTTTCAACTCGGATCTTGAAAAAACCACTCAAAGTATCTCCAGGCACTGATCAGGAAACACCATTATTTGCTTTGCCAACAAACTTCTCGGAGGGCAATGTGGTACTCTCTAGCTAAGTAACAATGAGCATATCACTCGAATTCAGCCATTCTACTTCCAGGCATTTATCCTACAGAGGGGCTTGTGTGCCAGAATAGACCAAAACACACATGTATTAACTGCAACACCGTGCGTACTCACAAAAGACTGGAAACAACCTGAATTTCTATCAAGAGAAATCTGTTAACTCATAAATTGAGATTTATCTCCAAAACTACTATGCAGCAATTAAAAACTTACAAAAAAGAAGGAGGTGGATCACAGAAGGATCTTCAGGATACAGTGTGAAATGGTGGTTGGGGTGGGGAGAGGCAGGGCGGAACAGGGAGGGCAGTGGAACTAATATATTTTGTATACTGTACAACATAGAAAGTAAGAGTATCTCTATTCCCCTCAGGGAAAGATAATTCAATTTTGCCACTGGTAGAGGAGACTTTTTAATTACTAGCTTTTGTTGCAGAAGGCTGCCTGATAAATTTCCTATGGAAGTCCAAAAAAAAAATAGAGAAAGAACTTTAGAAAAACTGGAATCATCAATAAATGTAAAGCAAAGTGCCCTCTACTTTGGAGGTCAATGGTAAAAAAATATGCATTATTTATTTATGTGAAAATGTCTGTAGATACATAGACTCTTCCTGGAAGGATAAAGAACTGGTTACAGTGGTACCTTCTAAGGGAAAACCAGGGAGAGATGTGGAGGGAACCTGACTTTTCACTGTTTGCCTTATTTCTGTACCGGCCGACATTTCTACTACATGTGCTGGACATCTTCCAGATCCTTCCACACATTCACCCCCACCCCTAACCCCCATGCTCTGTGTTCAGGAGGCAAACCTGTAGGCTCTGCGCCGATGTGCTCCCACACCCTCTTTGGGTCCGGCCAATGGAAGGCACCAGACAGCACCTGGGGAGTGTTCGTTCCTGCCCTGGCTTCCTGTCTGTGATACCACTGGATGCTGGCCGTGTCCTTCGTCTTGTCAGGTGGTCTCTCCACACAGCTCTCTCCTCCAGGTTCTGGAACAGGTTTCTGCAACCATTCCCTCTCCTTGCCCTCAGGCCCAGGCTGGTACGGATTCCCCACTGCAAGCCTTTCACCAGCTCCCCCATCTTATGAAACTCTCCTCAAACTACCCAGTGTCAGAGCACCCTCTGTTCCCTGCTGGGATTCTGAAAGATATAATATATGAATGCACTACTTTCTCAAAAAAATTAGGAAACAGCTTCTAGAAAGGGCAGCATGGATGTACAAATCAAGTAGCCTATGTGGTCATGATAAACCACTAACCGGTAGGGAAAGTGAGTTGAAGTGGAGGGGTGTGTCTCACCTGTTCATTCACATCATCCATCCAGAGGCGTAGCGTTTTCCGGATTGTTGGGTAATTGTTTCTGCCTCCTGTCTGTGGTTTCAGCAGGCCAGCCTTCTCTAAGTTGTATAATGTCAATATGTGCTCATAGCCATAAGTCTGCAAGACAAGTTGTTTGGCATTGATGTCCTATCAGGAAAAGGGTTTCTGCCACTTTCTAAAAAAGAGAACTTCCAACAAATTAGTTTGTACCCTAGAGTGCTTGCTTCAGCAGCACATATACTAAAATTAGTTTGTGCCCTAGGGCACGTTACCAAAGTCCACGTAATGACTGTCTATGGGCACAGGGGCAGTGAGGAGGATGACACCTGCTTGCCTGTTACAATTAATCCATTTCACTGCTTCAAAGAGGGATTTAAAGTTTTTACTTTAAAGTCAGAATTTATGGACCTAATTTAAGTGAGCATCAAATAAATTAATATATATTTTATATGGGATATAATTAGATTTTTTTTTTAAAAAGAATGAGGCAGGGCAGCCCGGGTGGCTCAGTGGTTTAGTGCCGTCTTCGGCCCAGGGCGTGATCCTGGGGACCCCAGATCGAGTCCCACATCAGGCTCCCTGCATGGGGCCTGCTTCTCCCTCAGCCTGTGTCTCTGCCTCTCTGCGTGTCTCTCATGAATAAATAAATAAAATCTTAAAAAAAAAAAAAGGAATGAGGCAGATCTACACATCTTGATAAGAAAGATCTGGATATATTCTTTTTTAAAATTAATTTATTTGAGAGAGAGAGACAGTGTGAGCAGGAGGGGCAGAAGGAGGAGAGAGAATCTCAAGCAGACTCCCCACTGAGTGTAGAGCTCCAAATCAGGCTCAATCTCATGACCCTGAGATCATGACCTAAGCTGAAACCAAGAGTTGGATACTCGACCCACTGCACCACCCAGGCACCCCTTAAGGACAAAAAATATAATAGCAGGATACTATGTACAGTCCAATTTTATTTGTTTAAAAAATGGTTAATAATAATAGTGATAGCCAACACTTACATAACACTTTCTGTGGGGGGCAGGGGCAGTGTTCTCTTGTGAACACATCACAATCCCTCAGTCTCTTTATTATAACCTGACAGCTGGGTGGTATTACTATCCCTATTTTATAGAGAAGCTTAAATCACTTGCCCAAGGTCATGTTGGTACTTAGTAACAGAGCTGGGACATGGATGCAGCCAGGCTCACCACAGAGTCTGTGTTCATAAATATTATTTGTATAAACGCAAACAAGGGAGTCTGGGAACACACAAACCAAACTATTGCCATTGGTCCTATTTGTGGAGGGAGATGGGGGTGTGAGTGAGGTGCAGGAATGATCACACATTACTCCGGATCACATGTTGCTTCACATGTTGCTCCAGACACTTCACCTTATTTGAATTTTATATAATGAGAATGCATGTGTTATCTATGTAATTTCTTAAAAAAAAAAACAAAATATCCCCCCAAAATTGAGCATTTAGTTTTAACCATAATGTACTTAACTGTGGCTGGTAATAGCAAATAAATACTACCTGAGACATTTTCAAACAAAGAGGAGAATTTTTAAAATAATTGTGGCCTTTTGTTAATTATGAAGTAAAACAGGCTTGATGTAAGTACGTTTGCTAAGGAATTGTTATCAGAAAATTTGCAAAAAGGTCCCTTCCTCCATCAAATGCAATCTGGTTAAGAGTGGGCACCAGACCCCAGTTCTCTGGGCTCTGGCACTGGCTTTGCCATTTACTAGCGGGGTGACCTTGGGCAAGCTACAAAACTACCTTGTGCCTCAGTTTTTCATCCATGAAGTAGGGATGTTAACAGCATCTAACTCACAGAGCTGCAGTGAGGATTAAACAATTGAATACAATAAAGCTCTTTCACTAGAGCCTGGCCCATGGTAAATGCTCAATAAACATTAGTTGTTATTATTATGCTAACACAGTAAATAGTGATCCGTACCAAGGACAACCCCATTAAGGTGTCAAAAAAAATTAAAAGATGTGAAAACAATATACCAAAATAGGAGCTTTAAGCAGTATTTTTTTTTAATGTTTTCTCCCTTGAAACATTAATAATCTGAAATCTACTGACCTGGAGAATTTCTCTTTTATAATAATCCAGAACCTTTTGTTTGAGCCCACTATTGCACACGGACTGGAGGCAAACCAGTCTTAACACCTTGATCAGTGGGTGCTTCTGGGCAATACAGTCTTCGATGTAACTGTTGACCTGGAAACAAAATACCTAGGTATGTATCCCAGCATCCAGTTTGGGGGGGCCTAATGAACTTGGTATTTACAATGATTTTTCAAAGTGGAATACACTCTGAGGCAATGCAGCTGCCTGTCTGAACACAGCACACAGCCTTCTGAGAGGCTGTGGAATGTGTGGAGTGTGTGTGACCTGAGTCTGTCTCAGTAAGAGAAGCGATTTATTGACCACAATGTAACAGGAGCTTTTTTAGAAAATAGAGAATCTTCCAGAAATGCAATAATTTTAAATTTATTAATAGAAGTGGATATTTAAAGGAATTATATGGGCAATCGCCTCATAAGGCAAATATCTACTATTGGTCTTAAAAATGGATTTCAGGGCTGGGTCTTCATCACTCCATGTACTGCAGAAAGCACCACACAGAGCAATGTTAAATATCCATGACTTGGTGAAATCTATATTTCCACTTGCACTTGCTCTTAAATATACCTTGGCAGAGCATGAGAATCAAAACAGTTGCTTTTCTAGCTATAATCTTACATTTGATAAATCACCAATGACTTGTTAATTTTACTGTTCACATACCTTATCGGTGTCTACTCCAGACATAAACTCCTGCTCCACTGTTAGTTTATCAAAGAAATCTTCAGAAGCTAAAATGTAATTAGCAAATTTGCAACTTAGAAATTAAATAAATGTTTGTTTATTTCAACAGTGTGCTTTTCTACACAGAATTAAGAAACAAGATGTGCAAAAAAAGAAAGCAAAAGGTTCAAACTGTCATCTGAAAACAATCTTCTAAAAACATGGAAAATCCTACAACCCCATGCTCCTAAATTACATCGACATGTAGTTGACCACTGTACTCCTTTGCTGTCCTTAGGACTCAATACAGATCCCAAGAATTCTGCCTCGGTCACAGGGAAAGCTAATCTCCCTAGCACTTCACTCTCATCATCAAATTCAACCCAGTTTTAACTGCTTTGTAGTAACATGAAAACAAAGGGCTGATTTTACAACACCACGTTTTACTGCAGTTTCAAAATAGGCTTCATAATCTACAGCACCCACATTTTATGAATAAACTCATCTTCGGCTTAATATACATCTTCTGAGCTCTTTCAAAATACTCAATGTATGATCTCTCTACCAATTCTGCAGGAGGTTTCCAAAGGAAAGACAAAAACAAAAGCAGAAACATCACAATGCTTTGATTAAATAACCCTTAACAAGAGAGAAAAACCTAGACTTAAAAAAGAGCCTCATTACAGTGGCAAACTTACAGAAGTTTTTCTTCTCTTATCACTACAAATATTTTATTTTAGGATTAAATAAATAATGGGGAAAATGAGTTAACCACAAATGAAACACATTTAACTTTGAACATATATATACTTAACACTGAGAATAACATACAATATTCAAATAGAACTGCCTTTCCCAAGGAGGTATCATGGTGCCCGTGACCCTGCTGTTAGACATTGTGTATGCAAGTTGACCTGATGAAAATCATCACTCCAAAGGATACTCACTGGTAACATCCTTGATTAACTCAGCAATTGAGGTGTGGTTTGCAAGTGAGCCTCTTGCTGCCTGCATGTGGGGCAGCTGGGAAACAAACTGCTTGATCTCCCCAACTGTCTTAGCATTGTGCCTTTCCTGAAATGGATAAAATGGCAAATGCATCATTATTTTGCTTTTAAAGATATTTATTTATTTATTTATTTATTTATTTTGTTTTGTTTGTTTGTTTATTTCTGAGAGACAAGTGGGGAAGGAGCAGAGCAAGAGGAACAAGGAGACTCCACGCTGAGCATAGAGCTCAACATGGGGCTTGATTCTACTACCCCAAGATCATGACCTGAGCCATAATCAAGGGTCAGATGTTAATGAACTGAGCCACCCAGGTGCCCCAAGATATTTTATTTGTAAGTGTTCTGTTCTGTTGCTCAGAGATGTTTACTTTATAATCAGTGGGAAAGAAAGAACAGAATACAAATAAATCAGGCCAAAACCAGTTCTGATGTTACAAAAAAAAGAAAAAAGACGAGTCCACAGTGCCTGATTACTGTGTCAGTAGTTCTTCAGAGAGCAAACTTGTGAGGTTTTCTCCTACTATGCTGGGGCTCATATAATGATTGGTATCTGTGGGCATCTGAGTATTTGCGGGTGCACTATTAGGTTATCCACAAACTTCTGAAGAAAAAACAAAAAACATTATGTTAAGAGGGGAATGTAAAGAGCAAAAAGTGTCCTCTGTAAAAAAAAAAAAAAGCATTCTTACTGCTGAATCTCAATCTTGAAGACTGTCCATGAACAAAGTGAACCTTGCTTAGTGATGGGAATATTTTTTGCTAAATTTAACCATGTAAATCAAATGTAAAATGTGAAATGTGAAAGTCAATTAATGAATATAATCCTTTAGAAAGATGAAATCTAGAAATACATACTCGGTGAAAAATTAGTTTTCAAAACTCCTCCCAGTTTTACATTTCCAAAGTCTAAATATTCAGAGCTTATCCTCTTACTGAATTTCTATGTTTCCAAAATGAGCTCACCCAAGAGTAAATGAGTGACCAGGCAAGAGGAGGCAGGAAGGTGATAATGAAGTGCCTGTCTCACTGTCACCCACCACCTCTGCAGGGCTCCTCTGCTGCTGGCATGCTGGCTAAACTTATAGCTCTCACCACAAACCCGCAAGTTCTATTCTAGAAGATCTTTTATTTATGGTACACCCAGCTTCCTCTTGAGTGAAGTAGGAAATTATGAAAAAGACAAAGGTAAAACAAATATTTATGTCAAAAGCCTGCAACCACTGTTCCCGCCACCCCACAAAGAAGGAGCAAACTAAACACCTTCTATCATGGGTCGGGGACCAGGTTCCAAAAGAAACCCTAGGGACCCCCAGTTCCTTGGGAGAGAAACGTGCACCTGCACCGAAGCCCGGTTTCTGGCTGTACCTCTGCAGGCTCTTCCTCTCCTCGTGGGGTGGGCAGTCTAGCCTGTGACCAAGAGCAGCAGCAAGACAACCACACTGCCTCACCTCAAATGCTGCAGAGATCACCTTCGCTCTCTTGCTAAGCACAGAGCCCACCGCGTTGAAGTTTTTGTCGCGGATCTCAGCATAGAGCTCCTCTGCGGAATTTAGCTGAAGTTTCTTTGCTTCTGTGGGCAGATCCTTCCCACCATCACCCTGTTTCTTTGGTGCAAATTTCTCCGGAGGTAACTTCACATAACCTGAGCGGCAGCGGAAGAGAACAAGCACCTGTGTGTGTTCACTGGATGAAAAGATCCAGCACCCAGGCACAAAACAAGGTTTTCCAACCCAGGAGAGAAGTAAGCCAGCTTTAGGAAACAATAGCAGAGAACACTGAGGTTTTGAGTTTTCCACGATCAGAGTACACTTTGATCATAAATAAGTAAATTGGTTTTATTATTAAACATTTCTAAGATGTGAAATGCTGACAGAAATAAACAAGCATCGGGGCACCTGGCTGGCTCAGTGGTTGAGTGCCTGCTTTTGGCTCAGGTCATAACTCTGGGGTCCTGGGACGGAGTCCCACACTGGGCTCCCCACAGGGAGACTGATTCTCCCTCTGTCTATGTCTCTGCCTCTCTCTGTGTCTCTCTCGTGAATAAATAAATAATTTTTTTTTAAATTTTTATTTATTTATGATAGTCACACAGAGAGAGAGGGAGAGAGAGGCAGAGACACAGGCAGAGGGAGAAGCAGGCTCCATGCACCGGGAGCCCGACGTGGGATTCGATCCCGGGTCTCCAGGATCGCGCCCTGGGCCAAAGGCAGGCGCCAAACCGCTGCGCCACCCAGGGATCCCATAAATAAATAATTTTTAAAAAAGATTTTATTTATTCATGAGAAACACACAGAGAGAGAGAGAGAGAGAGAGGGAGAGAAAGATTGGCAGACACACAGGCAGAGGGAGATGCAGGCTCCATGCAGGGAGCCCAACATGGGACTTGATTCCGGGATCCCAGCATCACTCCCTGGGCTAAAGGTGGCGCTAAACCTCTGGGCCACCCAGGCTGCCCAATAAATAATTTTTTTAAAAAAGAGAAAGAAATAAACAAGCATCACCTGGGCCCAAATCAAACAAACAGGTTTGTGACCTTTGACCGAATAATTTACACCTAAATGCTAGCATCCCCAGTCTTCCATCTGGTGTCCCAACCTCAAGAGTCAGCCCTTCCCCAGATGCGCCCACTGCAATCTCTACTGTAGCATCCCTGCTTCTATGTGTGGCCTGCCCCTTGCCACGCCCCCTCCACACCTACCCCTCCCCAAATGCAAGGCAAATGCCACCTCTCCAACAAGCTTTCCCAAACAACTGCCAGCCATGATGGTCTGCATTCTCCAAACTGCAGTGTCACCTTTATCTAACCCAGGGCCATTTGTCTTCATGAAGACAAGCACAGTTCTGCAAACTAAGCATCCACCAGCCTTTGTGGGACAGACAATAGCAGTTTTGCTGGGACTTTGTCTAATCCGGAGTCTGAAAGCCAAAAGTCAGTATTTTTCTTTTCCTTTTTAAAGATTTTATTTATTTATTCATGAGAGACACACAGAGAGAGGCAGAGACACAAGCAGAGGGGGAAGGAGGCTCCATGCAGGAAGCCTAATGTGGAACTCCTTCCCAGGACTCCGGGATCAGGCCCTGGGTCAAAGGCAGATGCTCAACCACTCAGCTACCCAGGGATCACCCTGTATTTTTATTTTCTCAAATATCCTCTGATTTATGTCCAAAGAAAGTACTTCCTCAAAAAAAAAAAAAAAAAAAAAAAACTTTTGGATATTTTTATCTGATGACCTTTCAGTCAACACAGATGCCACTTTACTTACTGTTCTGAATGCCATAGATTTCATCAATGAGTCCTTCATATGTAAGCTGAGTAGCAAGAGGAGTTAATAAATCCACATTTCGATCGAGCAACAAGAGATTATCAAAAACGGGAAAAATTGAATTTTGGCTTCCTGTAAACTCTCTCTTCATCCTGATCATCATATTGGCCACTTGCTGGAAACAAAACATTGGATTATGTGGGATGTTTCTGGGAATTAGCAGATTTTAATATGTAGCTAAAAACAGAAAGACAATCAAAAAAAGTAAAAAAAAAAAAAAAAGAGAAAAGAAAAACTATAGAAGACCGAGATTGATCAAAAATAAACAGAGAAAACCATCTGCTGTTGGCCACCCACTCCAACATGCACATGTGCACCGACAGCAGCCACCACTACTCAGTGAGGCACAAACTCAGATGCCGTCTATTCCCGTTATTCACTGGACTCCTGTAAAGTCGCCATGAACACTGACTCACCAAGTACTGAGCCACTGCTCCATGGGAAAATGCGAGGTGAGGCTCCTTCAAGCCTCTCGTCACATTTTTATCAACTAATGAATGTGTAACCTTGTTTTATGTGGTTTCTATCTAAAGACACTTTATTTAGTATATATTGTTGATTCACCAACAAAGAACTCATAGTCAACAGTGCTATCGCTCAACGCCTGAGGGCGTTAGCCAACAAAGGTATTCTCTTGGTAAGGCACACCCCAACCTTCCTGAGCTCAGGGACACTGGGCAGTGCCTCAGGACTACCTCGGGGCTGTGTTAAACAGTGAAATCACCAAAAAAAGTGCAAAAATGCAAAAAATGTGGTCTTAAGTAGTGCATGGGACTATATAGTGGTAAAAAGGACACCTGTTTATAGCCTGAGAGCCAAAACAAAGCAGAGCTTCACTTTATTGGACATCAGCTGGGTACATGCACATTGGACAACTCAAATGTCTTTGCCACTCTTGACATGTTCGCAAAACATTGTGAATATCGATTTTGGGATTACAAGTACATTTCAGTAATTAGTTAAATTCATAAATCAATAGGACTGACTGTATTTGTCTGTAAATAGCTTCCTACTGTTCCCCTTTTGGGTACCAGGGCACCCCTTTCATTATCCCAGAAACATGTGCCATTTCTTACCCTGGCACACTCTCCTTTCCCAAAGATTTGGGGGATTGTTCCATACAGAGCCTGCAGGGTCATCAGCCCCTTAGCTGCATGGTAGAGGCTCGTCTGGTCACTCTCCAGGTAGCACTCCTGTGGGGAGAAAGGGTGGTTACTGTTAGCCACAGTGACTGGCTGCTCGCTGGGTGCCTGCCTCTGTCTGGCACTGGGACTTTCCTCATATTTTCCACTTTGCCTGGAAATCTGGAGACTCAAGACCATTTGGTCAAGCTGCTGTTGGACAGTCTAGAACACAAGACCAATGGCTTTGCTACTGGGATGCAGCTCTGGAAGCAACCAGCAGAACCTTCTGGAAGAAAAGTGTTCACCAAGCAAGCCAATTCTTATTTAACAACTCTTAGGTAAACTGATTAACAAAGACTGACAATGAGAATGGATTCTCTCACTTACTGTGGGGAGTGCAGACTTTGATGTGACATTTTGGGAAGGCCACAAGCTAATATCCACAAAGAAACATATTCTTTGACCCCGAAAGGGCCAGATGACCACACAACAAAATACTTAGCAGTTTTGACAAACATGAAATTTTCATATATGCTGACAACAAAGGTCCTAATATCCTGAGAAGTGAAAAGAAGTAGCTGAGCAATCTTCAAAGTATGATCTCCTTTTTAGAAAATACATTTTACTTTATAAAATATATAAGATATATTTTGTAAAGGCCAACAAAGTACACACAAAACCAGTTGGGAAGTGAGAGGGGAAGTGCTCGGTTTTAACACTGACAGGTGAGAACACAGCTGTTGCCTCAGGATGCCTTGATCTGAGCCCCTCTGTGCCACTTCCCTAGCTGCTCCCTAAGACCAGTTAGAGAACCTCTGTGCCTCAATTTACTCTTCTGTAGAAGGGAGTACATTCCACACAGTGTAACAAGTAACCAAAGAAAATGTACATAAAACATTAAATCCCAGCACTTGAAGCACACAGTAAGTGCTTAATAAATATTAGCTTTTATTATGTGGAATTGTTTGGATTGCTTTTCACAATCATCTGCTCATAAAGTCAAATGGTATATGAGGCACTTCAGTGGCTCATCGATCCTTGATTTCGGTTCCAGCCATAATCTCAGGGTCATGTGATCAAGCTCTGAGTCAGGCTCCATGCTGGGAATGGAGCCCGCTTAAGATTCTGTCTCCCTTTGCCCCTCCCTCTCTAAAAAGAAATAAGTCAAAATGGTACACTGCACCAGACACCTGCCCCTACCCACCCACCAAACATGGATCTAGCCTCCAAAGCCACGAGGGAAAGGACACCACAGGAATCACAGAAGACAGAGTAGAGAATTCAGACACTCCACCCTCAGGAGGAAGGAGGACTGTCTCCTGAAAACACTGTGAGGAGCGAGCGTCTAGTTACCACTGGAAGCACTGCTGGATGATGGCTCTTTTAAGGCTGGGGTATTTTAACATTTCACTACATATGAAAGGCAAAAATAAAAGAATGTCTGAAGACACACTTCCTGGCAAAGTTACTTAAAATTCCTGATTGGAGTAGAACTAAGATAAAAATTCAAGAAAGAAAACAGTAGGGAACATCTCTCAAAATAGTATTCGTATTACTTTTTAAAAAAAGATTTTATTTTTAAAAGATTTTATTTATTTATTTAAGAGAGAGAGAGAGAGACAATGCAAGCAGGAGGGAGGGGGGTAGAGGGAGAAGGAGAAGCAGACTCCTCCCTGAGCAGGGAGTCCAACGCGGGGCTCAGTTCCAGGACCCTGAGGTCATGACCTAAGCCGAAGGCAGATGCTTAACGAACTGAGCTGCCCAGGAGCCCCTTTAAAATTTTATTTTTAAGTAATCTGTTAACACCCAACATGGGACTCAAATCCACAACCCCATGATCAAAAGTTGCATGCTCTACCCACTAAGCCAGCCAGGTGCCCCAGCATTCATATTATTTTAATTTAAAAAGCTGTATTACTACACAGAGAGTGAGCATGGGGGGAGGGGCAGAGGGAGAGAGAGAATCTCCAGCCTCACGTGGAAATCGATTTCATGACCCAGAGATCATGACCTGAGCCAAATCCAAGAGTTGGGTGCTTGGGATGCCTGGGTGGCTCAGTGGTTGAGCATCTGTCTTTGGCTCAGGTCATGATCCCAGGGTCCTGGAATCAAGTCATGCAGTGGGCTCCCCTCAGAAGCCCTCACTCCACTCCCCTCAGAAGTTATGTTCATTGTTTAAAGTCAAACACATATGTAAAATTACATCAACTTCATCAGAAATTGGGGTTGAATTTAGCATTAGGTAGAACTCTCAGCTTTACCATTCAGGCAAAATCTTTTATTTCTTTTTTTTTTAATTTTTTAAAAAATATTTTATTTATTCATGAGAGACACAGAGAAGAGAGAGAGAGAGAGAGAGAGAGAGAGAGAGAGAGAGAGAGAGAAGGCAGAGTCACAGGCTGAGGGAGAAGCAGGCTCCATGCAGGGAGCCCGACGTGGGACTCAATCTCGGGTCTCCGGGATCATGCCCTGGGCTAAAGGCGGCGCTAAACCGCTGAGCCACCAGGGTTGCCCAAAAATCTTTGATTTCTAAACAGAATCTGAAATGAACATACAAAACCAAGAGCTTGGGACACTTAGGTGGCTCAGCAGTTGAGCATCTGCCTTTGGCTCATAGTGTGATCCCAGGGTCTGGGATCAAGTTCCACATTGGGCTCCTTGCAGACAGCCTGCTTCTCCCTCTATGTCTCTGCCTCTGTCTCTCTCTCTCTCCCTGTGTCTCTCCTCAATAAACAAATAAAACCTTTAAAAAAAAACCCCAAAAACAAAAAACCAAGAGCTTGAAATTCCCAACAGAAAATAATCCTGTCCCTTTTCGCAAATCATCAGAAAAACAAACAGGAGATCTCTCCTCTGGAGGTTTTGTCATGCAGGGGCAAGTTTTCCTCAGCTGCTACCAATTCGCATTAATTACAGAAATGTGAATTAATTACCTGAGGGTATACCCATTATAGATCAATGATGAAACAGATACAGCAAAATGGTAATTCCAGAATCATGGTGATGGGTATATGGGTGTTCCCTGTTAAATCCTTTCTTTTTTAAAAAAAACTTTTACTTATTTATTTGAAAAAGAGGACACTCATGAGTCCAAGCACGCACACGCATGTGTGGATGGAGTAGCAGAGGAAGAGGGAGAAGCCAACTCTCCACTGAGGAGGGAGCCCAATGAGGGACTCAATCTCAGGACCCCAGGATCATAACCTGAGCTGAAGGCAGACACTTTACCGAATGAGCCACCTAGGCACCCCTACACTTGTTACACTCTTAACTTTTGTGTATGTCTGAAAATTTTCATTTAAAATGCTGTGGAGAGGGATCCCTGGGTGGCACAGTGATTTGGCGCCTGCCTTTGGCCCAGGGCGTGATCCTGGAGACCCGGGATCGAATCCCACGTCAGGCTCCCGGTGCATGGAGCCTGCTTCTCCCTCTGCCTGTGTCTCTGCCTCTCTCTCTCTCTCTCTCTCTGTGTGACTATCATAATTAAATAAAAATAAAAAATAAAATAAAATAAAATAAAATAAATAAAATAAAATAAAATAAAATAAAATAAAATGCTGTGGAGGGAGGGGGCATCTGTACCATCTTTGGATGAGATTTAGTATAAGCAAACCAGTAGGGAAAATGGTGGAAAAGAGCCAAGAAGTTCTTTTGGTTATTCGAATAAATGTTGCCACTGAGATCTACTGCCTCAAATTCACTCTTATAAGGTGGTGATCACTGGAACCACATACTGGGGAGGAAAAAGTTTCAGAGGTTTTGTACAACTTTTGAGAGGTTCTCAAAAGTTCTAGTCTCCATCACAAACCCATGAATCAACGAAAGAAATATGGACAGATATGACTGTGCTGAAAAGCACGCATGGCAAAAACTACCATAAGCAAAGTCAAAAGACAAATGTCAAAGGTGAGTAAAGAATAGTCTACAGTTACAGGGCCCACGTGCAGAGTGACCTGTGTACAGGGTTATGCACTGTAGCACTGCCTCCAACAGGACAAGATGAGAAACGGTGATATGCCCTGTAGAAGGGGACTGGTTTAATATATCATGCTACCTCCAAAGAGTGGAACACTATGCAGTTTCAAACAAAAATATAGTATATGCCACCATTTGCATAGAAATGGGGAGGATATTTTATATACACTATAAGCTGTAGCTACATAAAGCATCTCTGAGAGAAAAAAAAAGAATTAGTAATAGTGATTGCTTCTGGGAGGGTACTGGCAATTTGAGCACTGGGAGGCTTACCTTTCACTCTGTACCCTTTCCGATTCAAAGAAATCTATCATTCTGCAAGAATAACGTTTTCAAAACACTTCCAAGTTATTTTATTAAAGGTAAAGTAATATCCTAATGAGAGAAAGTGTTCTTTGAAATAAAGATGGTAAATAAAGCAAATACACAAAATTACATTTGCAAGAAAACTCTCAGATCTGGAGAACACAGGCATAAACATTCTCTATATACATATGTTGAAAATAGGCAGTGGAGAAAACCAGTGCAAAAACAACTTGGTACCCATCTGGAAAAAATTAAATGAGCCTCTACCTCACACCACACACTCCACACAAAAACATAATTCAAGCTAGATTAAAGACCTGAACTTCTTTTCCATTAAAAGCAAAACTTCAAGACTTTCAAAGGAAAATATAAGATTTCCTATGTCTTCAGGGTGGAAAAGGATTTATTAAAACTCAAAAAACATAAGCTCAAAGAATAAAAGTAATATATTTAACTACTTTAACTGGGAACACTCATACCCCTCAGGGTCAAAGTTTACTACAAAGCCATAGGAATCAAGAGAGCATGGTACTGGTGTAGGGACAGACATACTGATTAATGGACTAGAACTGAGATGCCAGAAATAGACACATTTACAGACAACTAATTTTCAACAAGGGCACCAAGACAATTCAACAAGGAAAATACCACCTTCCAGTGAACAGTGCTGGAACAAATGGACAGCCACAGGCAAATGAATGAAGCTGGGTCCCCACTTCCCATCAGATAAAAATGAACCTAAAATAGGTCAAAGACCTGAAGTAAGACTGAAATCATAAAATTCTTTGAAGAAAACAGAGGGGTCAATTCATTACTCAAGCTTAGGCAATTCTTGGATGGGACACAAAAAGCATAAATGACAAGAGGGAAAAACAGATAAACCGAACTTCAAAATGAAAAATTTTGTGTTGAAAATACAATTTTTTTATGTTGGAGGATACCACTTTTACTAAGTGCAAAAACTCACAGAATGGGAGAAAATACTTGCAAATCATGTAACTGACTAAAGGACCTGCATCCAGAACATTCCAGAACGTTCCAGAATTCTAGCAACTCTCTCTCTCTTTTTAAAAATAGATTTTATTTACTTGATTCATGAGACACACAGAGAGAGGCAGACAGGCAGAGGGAAAAGCAGGCTCCCTGCAAGGAGTCCCATGCAGGACTGGATCCCAGACCCCAGGATCACGCCCTGAGTCGAAGGCAGATGCTCAACCACTGAGCCACCCAGGCGTGCCTTTTACAACTCTTCTAATGAAAGATAAGCTATCCCAATTTAAAAAATGCACCACAGATTGAATAGACATTTCCTTAAAGGAAGACCTATAAATGGCCAAGAAGCACAGAAGAAGGTGATCAACATCATTAGTCACTATGGAAATGCAAAACAAAACCCCAATGAGATGATGCTTCACACTCACTGGGATGGCAAAGCCTCAAAAAGACAGATAGCAACGTGTTGGTGAGAATGTAAGATTGGAACCCTCATCTACCTCTCATGGGAGCAGAAAATGTTACAGTCACTGTGGAAAGCCTGGCAACTCCTCCTAATGTTAAGCACAGTTCTACCATATGACCCAGCAATTCTACTTCTAGGTGTATGTAAAAGAAATGAAAACCCACATACGTACAAGACCTTGTATGCATGTTCACAACATCATGAGAGATGGCAAGTGAGAAATCGTCACCTGTCCGCTAGAGATGAATGATACACAAAATGTGGGATATCATTTAGACAGAACCCTATTTGGCAATAAAAAGGAATGAAGTGGGCAGCCCCGGTGGTGCAGCGGTTTAGCGCCGTCTGCAGCCCAGGGCATGATCCTGGAGACCCTGGATCGAGTCCCATGTCAGGCTCTCTGCATGGTGCCTGCTTCTCCCTCTGCCTGTTTCTCTGCCTCTCTCTCTCTCTCTCTCTCTCTCTCTCTCTCTCTGTCTGTGTCTCTATGAATAAAAAAAAAATTTAAAAATCTTTAAAAAAAAAAAGGAATGAAGTACTGACACCTGCTACAAGGTGGATGAGCCTCGAGAACATGATGCTAAGACAGAGGCCAGACAGAAAGGACCACATGTTATATGGACCACATGCTATATGGTTTCACTGATAAATTTCCAGAACAGGCAAATCCATACAGATGGCAAGAGACTAATGACTGTCAGTAGCTGCGGAGAGAGGGAAGAAGGCTGACTGCTAATGGGCAGAGGGTCTCTTTCTGGGATGATGAACACGTTCCACAATTGGATGGTGGTGACGGTTGTACAACTCTGTGGCTATACTGGAAACTATGAGACTACACACTCTAAAGGGGTAAATTTTATGGCACGTGAATTATGTCTCAATGTTACTCAATATTACTAAAAAAATAAAACACTTTATAGGGATCCCTGGGTGGCGCAGCGGTTTGGCGCCTGCCTTTGGCCCAGGGCGTGATCCTGGATACCCGGGATCGAATACCACATCGGGCTCCCGGTGCATGGAGCCTGCTTCTCCCTCTGCCTGTGTCTCTGCCTCTCTCTCTCTCAATGTGTGACTATCATAAATAAATAAATAAACACTTTATAATGGGAAATGTCTAGGTGATACAAAATATTATAATTAAATGAGATACCACAGACTGGGAGCACATACTTGCAGCTTCTATAACCCATACTGATTACTGTCCAGAATATATAAAGAATTCCTTAAAGGAAAAAAAAAGGCAACAAAAATGAGCAAGCAATTTGCTGAAGAGAAAAATCTTAAATGTCAATAAACATATGGAGAAAGGCTCAGCTTCACAGTAATCACAAAAATGCAAATTAAAACAATATTACTGATATTGTCATGCTCATAAATATTACCAAAATTAAAGTCTGACGTTAGAAAGGAAAATGTAAAGCTTACTTTGAATGCACCCTCTGATTCCATGGATAAGAGATCCCCATCAAATGGAATGAGGTCGAGGCTGTACTCCTCCCTATGAATAAAGGATCCCAGAACACCCAGATCCTTTAACCGCTGTTCACAGAGTAAACTACGTCTTGGCACAAACAAAATGTGGAAATCTCTTGTTGGGCCACGTCGGTCTTCACTGCAAAAGAAGTAACACTTGTTAGCTTAGGAGTGCCTTGGAGTGGTAGGTTATTTCACTCATTTTATTCCCAGAGACTAGCCCAATGCCTGGCACCCAGCAGGTGCTAAATAAATGCTGGTTGGATAAACATACACATATTGATTTTTAGATTCATATTGTTAGGGGACGCCTGGGAGGCTCAGTGGTTGAGCATCTGCCTTCTGCTCAGGACATGATCTGGAGTTTCAGGATCGAGTCCCGCATCTGGCTCCTACATGGAGCCTGCTTCTCTTCCCTCTGCCTGTGTCTCTGCCTCTCTCTGTGTCACTCATGAATAAATAAATAAAATCTTAAAAACAACAACAACAACAAATTGTTAGACAGTTGCTCCCTCGCTCTTTTTTTTCCCTGACAGGAAAGAGATATTGACCCACAGCCACTGTTTTCTGATGCATTTTCTAGCTTTCTCTTAAACCATTTATGAGGCATTCAAGCTCTCAGGTTTATTGAAACAGGATATCTGTGTCTTACGGAAAACAAATGGTTTTCAACCAATGACACGATTTTATGGAAAATGAAAGATCACTCCCAAAATAGCCCATATGCTTTTAAGATTTCAAGGGCCACATCAATCAAACTGTACCACAGAGTGTGGATGGGGCTCTATAAATTGGATACTACATTAAATTTTAATCAGCTCATACTTATTTTGCTTATGAAATTCAAGCACACTATATAGAGTGTATTGAAAAATAACCATTAGAGGTTTTTGCTTTTTTAATCAGAGTCCTTTCTACTGATATAGGTGCAAATTTTTAGCTACCCTGAATATGGGGTTATATGCTGATCCCTTTCTCCAACTGTCTGCACAACTTCATGACTTTCCCATTCGCCCTCTTATGTTCTTTCCCATCCACCCTGTTTTTGGAAGACTACCTCCCAGTGCACTGGCAAGATGAGGAGGCTGCAATAAGGCACTCAGTACATTAAAACCACGAGAAGGACCAACCTCTCTTGGACTAAATGTAAGCTCTGAGAGATACCTGAGCACATTTTCAGCAATTATATCCATTAGTTCTAGCCTGGGTCTGACAAAAAAAATAATATTCTTGACATCAGCTGCAGGCAAACGACTTCCCTTAAGTGTGAACATTTTTTCCACTTCATGTTCCTAGGAAAACACATACACAAAAGGTTAAAAAAAAAAAAAACCCAAATTTCACCTATCACAGCCAAATGACATTAATACTAGATTAGCAAAGTTGAATCTCCCCAAAGCCAGATGCATAAAGGACAAAGTTTCAGTATTAAGTCATTGCTACTGCATCTGTCATTGCTATTGCATCTGAATTCAAATGGCTCTCACACAATGAACTATCAATGACACTATGTAAGGGTCACATGATACAATGCTAATAATTTTCCTAGAATTAGCATCAGTATAAAATCACAGGCCAGGGGACACCTGGTTGGCTCACTGGTTGAGCAACTGCCTTCGGTTCAGGTCATGATCCCGGGATCCTGGGATTGAGTTCCACATCGGGCTCCCTGTAGGGAGCCTGCTTCTCCACCTATGTCTCTGACTCTCTCTGTGTGTCTTTCATGAATAAATAAAATCACAGGTCAATGGACCACTGTATAAAGAATGTTAGGCATGCATTATCAGTGTTTATAAAGACCAAAGAGCTCTGTAAGCCAATTACTCAGAGAAAATGTAAAATCCTATCATTTGCTAAAGTACAGAATTATTAATCCCTGAACAAAACTCAAATAGCTCATTTACCTTCAGTAGCGAATACTGTGCAATCAGGCCAAAGGGTCCTGTGAGGTACTCGTCCCAAACTATTGCCTGTAGGGGGGCAGAAACATTTTGTTATGGTTAAGATCAGGAATTTCAACAACACCCACAGAAAACAGCAGTCATGTCTAGTAGGAATACTTGCTTTAAACTCTGAATTAACAAAAATTTTAATGATTGGCTCTAACCACATTCATATCCTACAGATCTAAAGAAAAACCAGCATCTGGACAAGTGATGCTACTGTTTTTTTGTTTTGTTTTATTTCTTAAAGATTAATTTACTTGAGAGAGAGAGCGAGAGAGACAGAGTATGGGGAGAGGGAAGGGCAGATGGAGGAGAGAAAGAATCTCAAGCAGACTCCCTGCTGAGTGCAGAGCCCAGTTCAGAGTCTGATCCCACCACCCTGAGATCATGACCTGAGCCAAAGTCAAGAGTCTGGGGCTTAACTGACTGAGCCACCCAGGCACCTCCTTCTTCCCTTTTTTTAACTGAAATTTTTACTGAGATAAGTGTAGATTAACATTTATGTGTAAGAAACAATACAGAGAGCCCCCATATGCTCTGCCCAGTCTCCCCTGATGGTAACGTTTTGCAAAACCAGACTACAATATAACATCCAGGATACTGACATTGATTCAATCCATGATCTTAACTCAGATTTCAGCATCATTTCTTGAGCCTCAGTTGGGCACTTAGGACTTAGCCTGCTTCTTTTTCTCTCAGTAGCTATTAGTACCCAATCTAATCTCTTGGGGTTCTATTCTTCCTAAGACTGACTGCTGAGATTCCCCAATTCTCCTTCTCTTTTTGGAGTTGTACTGCCAGTTCTCAAGGGGGACCGACCGATAAATCCTAACAGGAGGGGACAAAGGTGACATCCTATCAAGTCCCTGATCTACAATTCCTCACTCAGTTGTGAGCTGGGTGATGGTAAACGTCTAACAGGAGAAACAATCCTCAGAAAGGTCACGTTAAACACTCAAATAACTATAACTTCTTTCATAATCCGTGTGAGCAGCAGGTTGTTAAGACATTGGTGCTTCAGAGACTTTTGGATGGTTCGATATGCAACGACACGCACGATCGCTGTAATGCATGGACACTGAACCACCCACACCCTTGGGCCGGGCCCGCCTCACTCGTCCTGATCTCAGGGGCACCAGATCTGCCCCTCTGGACCTGAAAGGCACCTGACACAGCTGGCACACGAGGGGCTGCGGTACCACGGTGGCTTACTCTGCTGCAACAAAACAATCGCGATGCCACGCTGACTCCGGACTGGGTGCCCCGGGACCCACCGCAGGCCCCTCTCCCGTCTCCCTGGTCCCTCCTGCTCCCCTCCTCGGAAGCCCCAGGGACCTCCTACTCCTGGAGCTCAGGCGGTGGCCCCGGATTAGGACGGGCCGGACTGGGGATAACACTGTCGCCACCTCCCATTCCTCACCTTGCTACCCGCGCACTTGTCCAGGAACTCGCGCAGCTCGCGACGCACCGCCTCGCGCAGCACGTTCAGGTTCACTCGTCCGTAGGACAGGTGGGCCGCCATCTTGCCCCACCGCCCCCTTTCCTGGCGAACAGACGTGGTCACGTGGCGGCGCAGTCACGTGACGTGGGCGGCCGGCAGCACGCAAATCCGGAAACTGAAAAGGGTCCACGTCTGCTATCTTTTCTGGCCCTAGTGCCCGACGCTCCCCAAGACCCCCGGCGTATCCGGACCCTGCCTCCGTCCAGGAGTTACTGGGCTCTGTGAGTTGACCTAGAGACGGGGACTGAAGCCTACTCGTTCCCTTTCTTCTTAGCAGCAGGCGTACCCACTGTCATGCAAATCCTTCGTAGCAATCAGAAAACCCTTCGCTTTGCTCTTTGAGTTTGTAGGCTAAAATTTACAAAAAAGGAGAGTAGCTGGGACGCTTGGGTGGCTCAGCGGTTTAGCGCCGCCTGCAGCCCAGGGCGTGTTCCTGGAGACCCGGGATCGAGTCCCACGTTGGGCTCCGTGCATGGAGCCTGCTTCTCCCTCTGTGTCTCTGCCTCTCATAAATAAAATCTAAAAAAAAAAAAAAAAGAGTAGCTGAAGGAACCTGTCACGTGATGGGTCTTTTTGGCTCTTCCTGATAAACTTCAACTGCGTGCTGTTTCACACAAATACTATCCCACGGGGAATCCCTGCATCAGTAAAATTAGTATGTTACCTTGTGAGTTGTGAGGATCAAGAAGATGTCTCTGCCTCTCTCTCTCTTTGTGCCTCTCATGAATAAATAAATAAAATCTTTTTTTTTTTTTTTTAAAGAGCCCCTAAACAATTACCATGAAGTCTGAATAAGCAAAGAGGAGAATTTGGGGATGATGAAGAGCAATCAATCATACACTTGCACTTTCGATTCCAATGATTCCATAAAAACCATTTAGATTTTTAAATATCTTGTTTCCCATGCCTGCTAAGAAGTGAGGCCCCAGCTCGCATCTGCCACCACCGCTGCTTCCTAACTTACTGCCCAGGCACTGCCTGCCACGCACCCTGCTGATGTTCATGTTCACCACTTGGCGGCTGAGCCCTTAGCCTCGCTGTAGAGATTTCTGTCGCCCTTGATAGAGTTTCTTTTTGTGATGGCTAAGATATTGCTGAAATAAACTAGGGTTTCAATTCAATCAATAAACTCTTGTTTCCACCCATGCAGACTGTTCCATGTTCTATTTCTCAACCCAGTTTCTTTTTTTTTTGATTAATTTTTATTGGTGTTCAATTTACCAACATACAGAATAACACCCAGTGCTCATCCCGTCAAGTGTCCCCCTCAGTGCCCGTCACCCATTCACCCCCACCCCCCGCCCTCCTCCCCCTCCACCACCCCTAGTTCATTTCCCAGAGTTAGAAGTCTTTATGTTCTGTCTCCCTTTCTGATATTTCCCACACATTTCTTCTCCCTTCCCTTATATTCCCTTTCACTATTATTCATATTCCCCAAATGAATGAGAACATACACTGTTTGTCCTTCTCCGATTGACTTACTTCACTCAGCAGAATACCCTCCAGTTCCATCCATGTTGAAGCAAATGGTGGTCAACCCAGTTTCTACAATGGTTCTCAGCGTTATCACAGATTGTCACATGTGCAGGCTTTTTGTCCAACTGGAAATGTATTATTTTAGCACCATCTGTGAGAATACATGTTGAGCTCAGCAAGCCTTATCATGAATCGGTAAATGAGGCCACAACTTAGGTATGAGGTGAAATCCCAAGCATGCATGAATGTAAATGAGCAAGCCCAAGATAATAAAACAATCCTTCTCAGACAGGATCAGGATGCTAGAAGATGATCAACACAGGTGTTTAACTTGTTATAGAGACCCAATGTTTGGGAACATTGCTATACTGCTGTGGTTGCCCTATAAATATTGCAGATCTTAGTGTTTTTTTAATTTTTGATATAATTGACATGTAACAGTGTTTTTGGTTTAATGTGTAAAACATGCTTTGACCTAAGTGTCAATTGCAAAATGATTACCACAGTAAGTTTATGGTTTTAGTCTTTTAATCTCCTATGGTTCCTACCGAAGTCAAGAACTAGTGTCAGGGTATTATTTAGGTAAAAGTTATGTACTACTAGCTCTGCTTTGGGGGCACCTGGGTGGTTGAGCCGGTTAAGCATATGCTTTTGGTTCAGGTCATGATCTCAGGATCCTGGGATGGAGCTGCCTTGAGCCCTCTGCTCAGCAGGGATCTCGCTTCTCCCTCTCCCTCTGCTGTGCTCTCGTGTTCTCAAATAAATAAAAATAAAATCTTAGAAAAAAAAAAAAAAAAAGCTCTGGGCAGCCCCAGTGGCTCAGTGGTTTAGCGCCACCTTTGGCCCTGGGCGTGATCCTGGAGACCTGGAATCGAGTCCCATGTCAGGCTGCATGGAGCCTGCTTCTCCCCCTGCTTGTGTCTCTGCCTCTCTCTCTCATGAATAAATAAAATCTTAAAAAAAAAAAAAAAAGCTCTGCTTTGGAAATATTGACCTGTTGGGGAGTCTGTGCTCATAAAACAAATGTTTAGTTCAGTAATCGTTTTTGCTAAATAAAGATCCTAGCAACTTTCAGAGTTTCTTCCTAAAACTTCATGGATTGATAGTTGGTGCTACCTGGTGCTACTTATATTTTTATAAGGTAATATAGTGTGATATAGCAATGGATAATGACCTTAGGTATGTATTTCATGTTAAATGGGTCATAGGATGCTTTGAGATGAAGATATATTCTTTCTTAAAAGCTGTTTATCAGCAAGACTGCAGCAGAAATTGCTATTTGGATATATAGTGCTTGTTCATTTAAAGAAAAAAAATTATGACAAGTCTGAAAATAATATCAGCTTACTACCATTGGCAAAAAAGAATATTTATTAAAGTAGATACAGAACACTTGTTTGCTCAAATTTTAATACTGCTTTACATTTTGTTTGTGAAACACTTCCTATTATGTTTAAAACCAAAAATTTCAACTCATTACAGATTTTTCACTTGTCAGACACACATTTGATAATCTTGAGGAGAAAAATACATCAAATGCTTATATACAATTATAGAAGTTCTTATACACATAGCATGGAAGATACATTTATTACTTTTTACATATTCTAGAAGACATTCAAATGAAGATAAATAGATTCAAACTGGTTGATAAAACTTCTGATGAAGTCCTTCATTTTATTTTTTGTGATAATAAAATCCAAAATTATTAACGTTGAATTTCTCATCGTACATTCATCTAAAAACACAGTAAAAAAAAACTTGTAAAGGTTGTAGACTAGTTAATTTAGGTGTTTTATAGTGGCTTATTATCTAGTTAAATGACTGCTGGGGATATCTGCTGAAGAAACAAATTTGGAGAAAAATCCTCCCAGTTATTTATTTCTTATAAAAGAAACAAAATGAAAACAGGAAAAATAGTTGCAAAGCCACGTGATGTTATTTTCTGGCCTAGTCCATTATGTCCTAATGTGTTTTCTTTTTCATAAAGGTAAAAATCTGAAAAGAAAGACATTGTGTTTTCTCCCAAAATACAGATTTTTTAAAAAATATATACATATAATATATAGAAGCTGAAATTATGGAAAACCAATGAACAAAACACCACAGTAGAATGAGTAGGTGCAGCATATAGATTCTAAAATGTCCCCACAGCAGTTTAGGGCTTCCCCCTCCCTTTACCTGTTTCATGATTTTATAATCACACCTAAGTATTATCAAGCCTGAAATAAAGGCACTACTGACGTCAGGTAGTGCAAAGAGCTAAAAGATACTTCTTTAAGAATAAAATACTTTAAATGAGTAGATGAAAATGCAAAATGGCACATTTTTCCAACTCATTCCAGTGTCAAAGCTTAACCCAAACATCTAAATATACAAATGCAGCCTGGAAAAATTTTAGTGCAAATATGAAAAGTAACAGCATAATTTAAAGTTACTTAAATAAGGTATTGTGAGGGTAGGGATTGTTCTAGGAGGTCTCCCTTGGGACAGTAAATGTAATGGCATCTGGTGCAATGTCTTGGAACTTTTAAAAATCAAGATGAGAAAATTAGAGGTGAAAACTCACCTACTAGGTGTTTATTATTTTAACTTCTAAGGGGAGACTAACAGGGTGATTTAGTGAAGATCAAAATATTTTTTTTAGATTTGTTGATGGGGGTCAAAAATAATGTGAGCTCTCCTGAAGTCTGCACACACGATGCTGGTGGTCAGTCGCCTACATCCTAGTGCGTCTGAGGAGCCTGGCGCACGGCTGGGGGTTCCGTCATCAGGTCTCATCAGGTCTTCCGTCAGAAGGTCTCGTCATCATTGCAGTGGGAGGCCCAGTGCCCAAACACCTCACAGATCTCACAGTACGGGCGCTCCTCGCTCCGACTGCCATGGTGTGTGGAGTGGGGGGGGTCCTCTGATGCCTGCGCCTGGGTGGGGCAGTCCTCAGTGTCGTGGAGGTCGAAGCAGTCACATATGTCACAGAAAAGGCGAGGTTTCTTCTTGGACTGTTTCTCCTGGTCGTCACTACAAATGTTAACGTGTATAATCAGAAACTCATCTGCATCAGATGAAATTCAAGAGACGGTATCGCTTGCAAAGCACACAAAATGAGCAAGAACTAATGATGGCCAAATCTGGAAGCCTCAAGTGTACGTTCTACAGTCCACATTTTAAATTTTCACATCGAACCACTTATAGCATATCACTCTCTTGCCAGACTAGGAAATCGATTTATGGCCAATGTAATTGTTTCTCCAATCCCCTAGAGAACTTAACTTTAAAAACCTTTGTTTAGGTGGAACGAAGGTTCTGATCACAGTATTGCTTAATATAAAATACCTGTCATAATTGTTTAGGTCATCACCATTCCCATTAAGGGCTGCTTCTGACATCATTTCCACCTTCATCTTGAGGTCCTGATTCTTCCTCTGAAGATCCACTATTACTGAATTGAGGAAATCAATCTGATTTGTCCAGGAAAAAAAAGAAGAAACAGATGTGTAAAGTGTCTAAAATGTGTACACTGGAATATCAAGAACATCATGAAAGTATACTTTCATGCTATGGCCACAGAATGTGCTGGGCACAGGAGGGGCAAAGAGTGGCCACTACGGAACCCACGTTTCAATGTTTTATATATACACACACATACATATACAAAACTCTACAAAAAGCATAACCAATTAATTGTTCCATTAAACTGCAGAACAAATCCAGAACTTCTATGCTCTGTAGATTTGAAAAAGTTCATGGAAATTGTCCTCAGGCCACCATTTAACATTTACAGATTGGTCATAGTGGGACAGGAGATAAATGCTATCTTCAGAGAAAAATGAAGGTGTTTGAAAGAGAAGGCTCAAAGCTCCCTTCCAGCTGGTGAGGCACTGTGGCACAGAGTGACAGGGCAGTGCTCAGGAAAGCCACGTACAACGAGCATCTGTGCCAAGATTCACTGAGCAGTGGGACAAGGAGGGACCATCAGGAGGACATGCTTGCCGTAACATCTCCTTTCTAACCAAGGGCACTTTAATTTAAAACAATGTTTTTTTCCCTCTTCTTCATATAATAAAAACGTCCAATTTCTCTAAATATCCACCGAATAAATCCTACTTTACAATATTAAAACTTCCGTTTTTCACTTTTTAAATAAATATTTGGCCTTATTCTCCTGCCTGGGGCAAGTCTGAAACAGAGCCAGCAATCACTAGCTTAGTGGTTCTCTGCAGGACACCCCTTCTAACACTGAAAGGAGGTACACATTTTCTAAAACTTTACCCTGGGGGATCCCTGGGTGGCGCAGCGGTTTGGCACCTGCCTTTGGCCCAGGGCGCGATCCTGGAGACCCGGGATCGAATCCCACATCGGGCTCCCGGTGCATGGAGCCTGCTTCTCCCTCTGCCTATGTCTCTGCCTCTCTCTCTTTCTCTCTCTGTGACTATCATAAATAAATTAAAAAATTAAAAAAAAATAAAAATAAATAAAAATAAAAAAATAAAACTTTACCCTGATAGGAGCTACACTACAGGAAGAAGGAAAAGCCACAAAATGGATATAAGTATAGTGGCAAATCACACACCCATACCCACTCACACACATGCACGCACGCTCACAAATTAGGAAACATAAAACAAACCATTTGCTGAGTGGAAGAAAGTGTTGGCAGCAGCAGATGAAACAAATGGAAGCAGAAAGATAAGGGGAAAAGAAAACACAGTTAATTGAATCCACGCTTATCAGACGCACAGACTAAGCAGACACACTATCCAGAGTGAGTTAGTGCATCTGTTGAATCCTTTCATGTCTTTCGAAGGAAATGTCGGATAACTAAATAAACTGCAAACTCACTAAATTTTTCTTTTATTTAAAGATGGTGGCTTTTGTACTTTTGAATTTTGAACAGGATAAATATATCCAAAGCATACTATTAAAATTGAAGATGGACCTTAGGTGCTTATGTGCAATTACATTTCCAAATACAGAATAGTTTGCTTCCATTTAATCCCATTTTTAAAACTAAGGTGGTTTTGGTAATTTTGGCTTTAGGGAAACCATTTTCAAGAAGTCTGCCTTTTTTGGGGATGCCTGGGTAGCTCAGTGGTTGAGCCTCTGACTTTGGCTCAGAGTGTGATCCCGGAGTCTCGGGATCAAATCCCACATTGGGCTCCCCTCACAGAGAGCCTGCTTTTCCCCCCTCTGCCTGTGTCTCTGCTTCTCTGTGTCTCTCTCATGAATAAACAAATAAAATCTTAAAAAAAAAAAAAGTCTGCCTTTTTAAGGTCAAGAGGAGCATGGAATCTTTTGACAGAGCAACTGTACTTCTAGGAATCGGTCCTAAAGAGATATTAGTATATCTGCAAAATAATTCATTATAGCATTGTTCATAATTCATCTGAAGGATCAGAAATATGCCAAGTGTCAGGTCAACTGACAAGCAGCTGGCTAAATCACAGAACGATCACATAGGGGAAAACTATCTAGCTATTAAAAAGACCAGATATACTGCCATTTGTGTAAAAAAAGAGAGGAAAAGACAGTTAATTTGGTTTGTATATACATGTTTTTAAACCTTTGGAAAGATTGTTTTAAAAGGTCCCAATAAAAATTAATTTATAAAATAAAAAAAAAAAAAATAAAAAATAAAAAAATAAAAACGAACTAGGGGTGGTGGAAGGGGAGGAGGGCGGGGGGTGGGGGTGAATGGGTGACGGGCACGGAGGGGGACACTTGACGGGATGAGCACTGGGTGTTATTCTGTATGTTGGTAAATTGAACACCAATAAAAATTAATTTATAAAATAAAAAAAAAAAAAAAAAAAAGGTCCCAATAAGAATGATCACCTGTTTCAGGGTTTGGGAACTGAGCAGATGAGACATAGTGTTTGGAGGTAGATTTTCTACTGTATATATTTTTAATATTTTTTATTTAGACCATATGAATGTACTGCCTCTTTGAAAGGGTGAATGATCTTTTAAAATAGTAAGCCAAGAAAAAGATAAAAAAAGGAATATTACCTGACTCTCCTGGGCTCTTTCATCCTCCTCTGCCTGAGTATCAGTATTACCTTATATTTAAAAAAAAAAAAATGGAGATTCACAAAACTTGCCATCTTTTTTTCCTGGGTTACTGCAACAAAGGGGCCAGCCAGTGTTAGGCTCGTATTTTCACGCGAAATTCCCAAATGTGTCTCTTTGGGAACAGTTAATGGGTTCCCGTCCCGCATCTGGAGCCCTGAGGATTGGGCACAGACACCGGCCCTCCCACTTTGTGTTCTCCTTGGGGATGGCCCACTGCTGTGGACGATGCCCATCACATACAGCTGGAACTTACAGTAGGAAAGCAAGCTACCATTTGCTCACAAAGGGGCCACCTCTGCTTCCCTTGGCGGCAGTGCATACACTTTCAGAACTGGAGTGGCTACTGGGAGGGCAGCTGTCACATCCTCTGCTGCTGCCAACGCTCCAGAAGGGGGATAGCCGGCACGCCCCTATGCGCAGAGCCTGAGTCAGGACTAGCCCTATCTGATTTAGTGGTGAGAGAGCCCAAGGCAGATGGGCTGGGTCAGGTGCAGCATAACAGCTGCCTTCCAAGGACATCTCATGAGAAACAGCTTCTCTGCAGGAAGGGGCAGTACTGGAAAGAAGCACCATGTGGCCATCACTTTACCTGAGGAGCTGCCGAGCTGCCTTCTGTTTTCTTTGAGTTGAAGTTCCAAGTTCTTCACCTGGAGTTCAAGCTTTGCCTTATCAGACTCTAGAGACTGAACGATGGAGTGCAAGGACTTGGCGGAGGCGCTCTCTCCCCGGAGCACTGTGACCTGAAAGGCAGCGGGTTAGCTTAGGTTTGCAGTTGGAACAAAAAGAGATGGCAGGAACTGTCACCACACATGGTACTCTACCTCATTTCTCAGTTTTTCCAGCTCTGCATCCTTTTCGGTGAGTAAGGCACTAGTAATACTGATGGATTTCTGCAAGGAAGCTTTTTCTTCATCTGCGTCCTTTATTAACTTGGATTCTCTAAAAGACCAAAGAGTTAAAAATTCCAGAAATCAACCAAGAGAGTGGTCAGGGTTCAACTGCCCTAGGATAAACACGCAATTAACTTAAGTTAATGTAAAGAAAAAAAGTATCACAGGGAAGTTTAAAAGGGGGCTAAGGCTGTTATGCTTACAAAATTTTACTTGAAATTTTACTCACTGTGAGGGAGAACAAGTTTACCTATGCAAAGACATGCCAGAATCTGCATATCATTGTATCCATTTGAATTTAAAGAAACAAGTTAATAACCTTGGAAGACGGAGAATTAACAAAACAAGACTATTACCCCCAAAGAATTCTTTTAAAATCTAACCCCCCCAAATGAATTGTTACTTCTTGAATAAATTATTACCAAGCAATAACAATTAAAATACACACATGCAAAGCGATTATACACAGATGTCATGCAGAGCAGTTTTATGCTGGAGGTATCCATTGGTTCTCACTAATTTCAGTAACTTTTAGCATCTTCCAAGAATGTGTTTTTGATATCTCATGGGCCAAAACAGTAGCAAAGGTTATTACTGCTATTTATAGTGAAGGATTATAACCTTTCTCCTCCAGAGGATCTGAAAAGGACATTATGTTGCTCATGGAGATTCAAGGTAATTACATAAAGGCTGGAACAGAAATGTTAAAGTGGATTTCCAGGTGTAAAAGGAAAGCATGGACATGGGGGGAGTCTGGTGGGAGACTTCAGAACGCTTGGTTTGCGTTCTCGGCTTGACTCGGCATTTGGTTGTCAGCAGAGGGAGTAGGACCGGGCCTTAATGAGAGGGAAACATTTACTCCTGAGTCAAGGGATGAGAAAAAGGAAGGAGAAGATGAAGGGAAGACAGGGAGGGAGGGCAAGACACAATAGACACAAACCCAAAGGGCAGGCTACTGTGTGTTTATATTTATATGTATATGTATTCAAATTTTTGTTGTAAAAATTACATGCATTCAAAAGTGCCAAAGTCACGAAAGACAAGGAAAGACTGAGGACCTGTCACAGACCAGAGGAGACTGGGGAAACATGACCACTGAATTGAAATGTGGCTTCATAGGCTGAATTCCAGAAGAGGAAAAAAGACATTAATGGGAAAACTGGGACAATCTGAATAACATCTACAGTCTAGCTAAGCATACTGAGTCAACGGTGCTTTCTCAATGTTGACAAATGTACCAAGGAATGTACAATGTGTGTTTCAGGGGACACAGGGTGAAGGGTATTTGGGGACTCTGTACTGCCTCTGCAACTCTTCTGTGAATCTAAAATTTTAAAATAGAAAGGCTTAAAAAAGTACATGCAGTGTGAAACAAGAGGGAAAAAGCCCTTGTGTCACAAAAATATTTTGGGGGAAATATGACCGGAAAAAAAAAATGTCTTAGCTAGCCCTCAGGCCATTCAACCTACAGCACTGCATCTACTGTAGATGACCATCAAAACTTCAACAAGAAGTCAAATCGCTCCCAGTTCTAGAAGAAGGAACTGCATGAATGCGCATGGTTCAGTCTGTTTTAGAACTGACTGGAAGAATTGGAAACTGAGGCCCAGGTTAGAAATGGCAGAATGTATGTCTGGTTAGTGAGACCCAAGATATCCGGCACGGGAATTACAGAATTCTCATGATTTATGGTAAATTGAAATTTTACACAAAGATGAAAATTTCAGTGTTGTATTTATCTCGTTGTGTGGCTTACACTTACACTCCAGAATGATAAGTAGTAAGAAAAGAATCTGAGACTTACAGAAATTTCTTGAATTCAACACCCAAGCATGATATGAACACTGGAGAAAGGGGTGGGTATTGATGGTGTTAAATCACTAAGTGAGTAGCATCTCGCTAGGAAATAGGATCTTGTTTAGGTTAAAACAAAGCAAAGATATTAATGGAAGGAATGTACAGGCACTTCTTCCACCTGGAAAGTAAATATCTGATGTTATCCAAAGTTATCCAAAAAATCCAGGGCTCCTGAAGTTTCAATTAAATTTATTTGGTAGTTTATTCTATTGCAAAATCTATTTCAAGAGCTTCACTGGTTATATATTCAACTCAAATTTGAAAAATGCAGTTTTAATGTTCTTACTGGAAAATACCAGGACTTGGGGGTTACTGAACAGAGTTAACTACCAGAACTCTAGGTAGGCAAAATCCCATGGGGTCTTTGTGTTAGAGAAGGATAAAGACACCACCAGCTGGCAGAAGGAAAAAGGTATGGGGAACTGCTGCCTGCTTATCACATACACACAACTCCTAAGGGAGGCTGCTTTCTAAGAAGATGGCAAGCAGAAAGCTTCTTGTACAAGTTATCAAAAGACACATGGTTAAGAAAGTGATCTACTTCATGATTTATATATCAAATGACAGGACAAATAGCCTTTGGCAGCTCATCTTTGTGGCAGATCTTCACTGCTGGCTTCTTAGGCTATTTCTAAGTCCTAATCCTACTGTGCAAACCAAGAGGGACTAATTTAAATCATTTATGCCAACATTACTGACATCTGAGTCACAAACCACACTGACTGGGGGAGGGCCTCTGTTACTTTTAAGCCATGCTGGCAAGAATGAGTCGGAGTTACTGAAAGTATCAAGAAGGGAAGAGAAACATGAGAAAACAGCTATGGGGGCCAGAAATCTTTCCCCCAAGGGGAACATATTACCCAGATTCTTTCCTTACTACTTACTTAAGAAATAAATTCTAGTAATGAAGCAAATACCTTAAAGTGTTACTGGGCAAGCTTTAAAAATGCAAGATAACAAGAACCAAATATTAGAAACATGAAAAGAAATGCAGGTACAGTTAAGGAGAGCTAAATTTGCGCTGAAGTTCTTTGTTGTATGTAGGTATCAAAACAGCGTGTGTGTGTGTTTGTGTGTGTGTGTGTGTGTGTGTACCGCTGAGAATATTTTACAAAACAAAAGCAAGACAGAGGGACAAAGGCAGCCAAAAAATATATACAACAATTTGTTTTACTAAAAATATATGAAATTTATTTATTATAACGTGGATAGACTTTCTTTAGTCTTACCATTAAAGACACACAGATAGAGCAAAGGAAGCAGGAGTAGGGAAGGGAAAAGAGAGGGTGAAATGAGCATTGGTAAGTAGCGCAAGCTCGAGACAGTCAGACAGTCAGCAACCCACAGTGAGCTTCATGAGCCGAAGCAGTATGGGACCTCTTCAGATTTGGTATCTTAGATGGTTATCGCCCACCAGTTTCCATTCCTGACATTTATCCTGCATTTACACTAACAGAATTAATTCTGACTCCAAAGAGTCTACGTCAGAGATTGGAGCTCTCAAGTCCCTATGTGGACATCACAAAGCCTAGAGAATGGAGGGGAGCCAAACAAGTTCCCACACCTGCTGTAGGCTTAGTGGACGGAGGGTCACACCTCCCCACTCCTGGCAGAGCCATTCAAGGGTGGCTGTGCTCTGTCAGCTACCCTGGAGTCTGTTTTGAAAAGAGGTCTGCCTAACTTGGGAATTAGTTTCCAAAATAATGATTACATTTTTCATTAGGAGAAAAACCTTTACTATATGTCACTTGCAATTCAATGTTCAGATACAAGAAAAGCAATGGCAAATACAGGACAATGTTACTCCCAAATAGTAAGTAGTTTGTGCTGACAGGTCAGGGCTAAGTTCTGCATTTCAATATAATGACCATTTGAATGACACATTAGATACTGTCTTGACTATGTATGTTCAATGATCACTTCTAAATCAAACTCTTGACAAAGATCTCAGTTCTTGCATGAACAACTATGTTGCATATACCTTTATGATTTAAGTACTTTCCAGACTTTTAAATTAAGGGAATATCAAATTCTTTTTAGTACTCCATGCTAAATTTACTTAACTATTACAAGACACAGACCTACATATGAATCTGCTATCAAACTATCTTTTAGAGAGCATTTAAGGGCCCAATTATTAGCTAAAAAATATTTGTATTCAGATTTAGACATAATTTTCCATGAGGATTAATTTGACAAAAGAGCAGTGCTAAATAAGAGAGGCTAGGTCTTTAAATTTTTCACTTTCAGAAAAAAATAACCATCTTTAAAATCTGCATTCATTGATAAAAAGGGTAATTTTCAGGAGACAGTCTCCTAAATTCATCCAGGACTTAAGATGGGAGCAAAGCTGGTAAGAAGCGGCTTTAACAAGCACTCAAACTTGTTCTATCTCCTTAAGCCATGAAAAAAAAATCCCATGCCTGGTTCACATTTTCAAAGGCATGTAATCTAAAGTCACATAGTAAAGACTAATGAAGCACAGTTTTAGTCTAAAAAATAATAATAAAAGTAACAATAAATAAATAAATGTACAGTGAGAAAAAAAATCTGCATCTTATGCCTGCCTCTGAGCTCTTGGCTAAGCTGCCTAACATTTTGGGCTTCAGTTTCATCATTTGTAAATGCAAGCCCCACCATTTATTTCACTGGGCTGTTTTGAGATTGTGTTTGTGAATTACGAATACCAAGGGATAATGCCAGTACTTGCTTACTTAAACCAGCCCATTTTCATATGCTAAAATGTCACAGGAATAAGCCCTATTAATTTTTTCACACACCCTTGATAATTGCACGGGGAGGCTCTCTTTAAAGAAACAGAGCCTTATCTGTGTGAAATCAAATATTCCGAGCCCCACCCAGGCAGAGTTGGGGGTGACAGTATACAGGTGCTGGGGGAAGGCATGCATGGCAGAGCAGTCCCCACAGCTCATGGTTGCCTGAAGAACACTTGGCTGTCTTGGGGTGGGGGTGCTGGGGGAACATGTTTGTATTCTGGTGCAAAATTTTACAGATGAATGAATCTAAGTATTTGTTAATTTAAAAAAGAAAGGAGGAAAGGCACCCCTGGACTGAGGCCTAGCGTCTCTTAGGATATAGCCTCTGGATCCCGTATCTCTGTGGGCTGAATAAAGCCCTCAGCAACTAAGCAACCGCCCTGCTGGCAGGAGGAAACAGTGCCAGAGTAAAATACATGTGTCAGTGGTCAGTGAGAAACTTCCTCCTTCCTGACAAGAAATAATAAAACACTCTGCAAGAGCGTGGACAAATTCTTGATTAAGCTATTCTTAAAGAGTTATTTTTAGAATAACTCTTGGCTTTGCTTTCATTAAAAAAAAAAAAAGTATGTGCCCGTTGTGATGCCCATCTACTCAGAACCACACAGGCAAGAGTTCTCAGTAAGAGTAAACACCACATCTGCTTGGCATGCAGCATAAAGCACAGAACTTCTCTAGACACAAACTGCAAGTTCTTTTAAAAGAGCACACAGGGCAGCCCCGGTGGCGCAGCGGTTTAGCGCCACCTGCAGCCCGGGGCTTGATCCTGGGGACCCTGGATCGAGTCCCACGTCAGGCTCCCTGCATGGAGCCTGCTTCTCCCTCTGCCTGTGCCTCTGCCCCACTCTCTCTCTGTGTCTCTATGAATAGATAAATAAAATCTTTAAAAATAAAAAATAAAAGAGCACACAAAGACTGTCAGGATATAGAAGCATCAGGCTTCTAAACAGTTATTTCTCTGGGTCAGTTTATCATTACTCAAAAGTTCTGGAAGGTTTCCATTCAAATATCATTTGATTATCATGAAAGAATAACAAATAATAAAGCTCTTTCTTAGAAAAACAGAAATATTCAAATTGATGCTAACACATAATGATAGAAAAGTTAAGCTTTTTATATAATGCAATCAGTATTTATGTGCAGACCAATTGCTGTATGTAAAATTACAGAAGTTTTAGTTCCTGAAAATGAGGAGGTAACAGCAGTATAATGAGATGATCTGATCTTAGAACACTTCTGAATAAATGCAACTAAACGAGGCTTAAAAAGTAACCTATTCTTTGTCTTGGTAACTAATACTATAACTTTTGCAAATACATTTTTATCATTTATCAATGATGAGAACCAAACTATCACAATCTAATTTTCTGAATATAAGCAGCTGGCATGTTTTCTACAAGTCACTGTACACATTACATTCTGATATTTTCCTAATTACATACACACACACACAACAATAAACACAAAAAAGAAAGCCTACCTCTTTTTCATTTCTAACAACTGATTATTGAGCACAGATCTCTCTTCTTCTAGCTGGAAAAAAACACACACAAAAAAGTTCAGTTCATTACAAAAGTCCACAGAGAGGTCTATTTCTCATCTCACATGCCACATTTCCATGCTCCAGGACAGCTAAAACAATAGGTCTTTCTCACTAGCAATGAAAAAAGAGCAGTGGTTACTACATTATGCACAGTTGTTAATTTACAAACATTTATGACCCGAACGACTCCCCTTCCTAAGTACATGCCATATCTTCAACATTTGATAAATGTTTCATTCATTTCTTAAATGAGCGAAAGCTTCACTGATAACATTCTGGCTCCTTCACTGAAATCACAGAGATCAAGTGTCACTAACTCATGGGAGGCTAGGAACAGGCTGTTTACCCTGCATTGGCCTCATTTCATGCCTTCCATGTTCCAGGCATTGGTTTCTCACCTACAAAACAAGGAGATTAGAAGAGAATTTCTAGTGGCCATTTAGTTCTAAAATCCTATTATTCTATGAAGGATAAAAAACAAAGGATTCAGTTAGTTAATCCTGTGAGAGAAGACTTACCCCTATCCTCCAGGTCTGTACCACGCAACGTTTATGATCTAAAATACCAACTTTATATTGAAATTGAAATAAAACTGAGGGGTGAAAATACTCCTTTGTGGGGTTTTCCCCCCAAAAGCAAAGGATAATCCAAAGACTGGAATGGTTTCCAACAGCCCAGAATTGAAGCTATTAGCTCACTGTATAGAGCTATGGTCTGATTTCTGATTTTGTATCTCTTATGTTATGTATGTGCTTTGATATGAGGTCTTCACAGCAAAGTTCTTAAATATACATAAACATGTTTTGAACATAAAATTACGTTTATCACAAAATCTATCAAGGTTAAACACTCAGTTTTTCCAATGTAAATTCTGCTTTACTAGTCCATTAAAGATGTATGCTTTTGCTGTATGAAAATTCATTAAAAATATTTAGGGGATCCCTGGGTGGCTCAGTGGTTTAGCACCTGCCTGGAGTCCCGGGATCAAGTCCCGCATCAGACTCCCTGCATGGAGCCTGCCTCTCTCTCTCTCTCTCTCTCTGTCTCTCTCATGAATAATAAATAAAATCTTTTTTTAAAAAAAATTAGAAATTTTTAAAGAGTGAAAGAAAGGAAAAAGGGTGGGAGACAAACTTTAAAAACTAAAATAAGAGGGAGAACATCTGGAGAGTGGGATGTGGAGATGAGAGGGGCTTTCTTTTTTTTTTCCTTTACATCCTTTTATACAGTTTATATTTTTTAAGCAAGGAAGCTGTTTTATAATTAAACGTAGGTACTGAGACGTACCTACAATTAAGATAAATGGATAAAGACAGACAATTTACAACAGAGAAAATACAAATTGTTAATCAACATGTGAAAAATAACTCAACACACTAAAGAACACGTATGCAGAGATTCTCCCTCTTTCTTGGAGGGTGCATTGTGCCTGAATTTCCACGGAACAGAAGTTTGTAGTACTTATGGTATAGTTTTCTTTACAGGAGACAATGTTTCTTCCTTCTCTTGCTCTAGGACCAAATCCAGGTTGACAAGTTCATTTGGTAGTTCTATTTCTTGATTCTGATTCCTCATTCTTTCCTTATCTTTTGTGACCTTGACATTTTTGAGGGACACAAGCCAACACAACGTCAATTTGGATTCACCTGATGTTTCCATTTGAGAAGAGTCAGACCATGCACTTTTTGGCCGGAACGCCACAGAACAAATCCTGTGTCCTTCTCAATAGGGATCAAGAAGCAAACAATGTTGTCTTCCAGTGAGGGTAACTTTGATCTCTTGGTTGAGGAAGCATCTTCCATGTTTCTTCACCATAAAGGTATTACTTTTTTCTTTGTAATTAATAAGTATTTTGTGAAGAGATACTTTGAAAATGTATAAGCATCCTTCTCCTCAGCAAAATTTCAATCCATTTCTTTTAGCACCAATTGATGATTCTTCCCTAAATAAGACTACCCATGGTTACCCAATAGTGATTTTCTAATTCCATCATTTCACCTATTTACTAGTTGTCATTTTCCCCTAAGAAAGGGCCTTTGTTTTTCCTCCATTTTTTGTGTTTCTATGATAGATCATGGTTTCTTATGTTACTGAATAGACTATACTCCATTACTATCAATATTTCTTTTGATGTTCAAATTATCTGAGATTTGGTCAGTGGAAGCCCCTTCAACAAAATTATGATGTGCTTTTGACTAATCTCTAGTATTCTTTAAGCACTTCCTTGCTTTCTGGTATATAGGATATTCCAGGATCATCTTGTATTCTCTCTGTCCCAATCTTGGAATCAACCATTTATCTAAGAATCTTTGAAGTGAAGAAGTACAGTTAAAATCAAAATCTAAGGACGCCTGGGTGGTTCAGTGGTTGAACATCTGTCTGCCTTTGGCTCAGGTTGTGATCCTGGAGTCCTGGGATCGAGTCCTGCATCAGACTTGCTACAGGGAGCGTGCTTCCCCCTCTGCCTGAGGCTCTGCCTCTATCTGTGTCTCTCATGAATGAATAAAGTAAAAATCTTTAAAAAACAAAATCTAGGTGCTAAGTGTACTCACTGAGATTGGAGTATTGTTTCTAAACCCTGTCAGTGGACTTGATTTAAAACTGGTATTCAGGGCAGCCCCGGTGGTGCAGCGGTTTGGCGCCGCCTGCAGCCCAGGGCGTGATCCTGAAGACCCTGGATCGAGTCCCACGTCAGGCTCTCTGCATGGAACCTGCTTCTCCCTCTGCCTCTCTCTGTGTCTCAATGAATGAATGAATGAATGAATGAATGAATGAATAAAATTAAAAGAAACTTAGTCACAGTCAGGTGATTAACCACTAAGGTGTTAATAAAGTCTTCTTAAAAAAATAAAACTGGTCTTCAAAAGATACTGTTAAGAGTATAAAGACAAGCCACAGACTGAGACAAAACACTTGCAAAACACAATGTAATAAAGGACAAGTCCTTTATCCAGAACTTAAGAACACTCACAACTCAATAATATGCAAACAACCAAATTTAAAAATGGGCAAAAGAGGGACAGCTGGGTGGCATAGGCAATTGAGAATCTGTCTGACTCTTGGTTTCAGCTTAAGTCATGATCTCAGGGTTCTGGGATACAGCCCTGTGTCAGGCTCCACATTCAGTGTGGAGTCTGCTTGGAACTCTCTCTTTCCCACTTCCTCTGCCCCTTCCCACCTAGAATAAATAAATCTTTTTTTTTAATGGGCCAAAAGATCTGAACAGATACTTGACCAAAGAAGAGATATAAAAGTCCAGTAAGAACATGAAAAGATGCTCAATATCATTAGTCAACAGGGAAATGTAAATTAGAACACTTGAGATACTTGGGACACCTTGGTGGCTCAGTGGTTGAATGTCTGCCTTCAGCTCAGGGCATGATCCCAAGGTCCTGAGATTGAGTCCCGCATCAGGCTCCCCACAGGGAGCCCGCTTCTCCCTCTGCCTATGTCTCTGCCTTTGTCATGAATAAATAAAATCTTAAAAAAACAAAAACAAAAACACTTGAGATGCTTGTGTCACAATTTAGTTTTAATCTACTGTGGTCAGAAAATATACTTCACCTGATTTCAATCCTTTGAGACTATTCTATGGTCTATCTTGGACAATGTTCCACGTGCACCTGAGAAGAATGTGTATTCTGTTCCTGTTGGGTGGAGTGCTCTAGATGACTGTTAGGTCTAGCTGATTCATAGTGTCCAAGTCTTTGTTTCCTGTTGATCTTCTCTCTAGTTGTTCTATTAGTGAAATAGGGTATTGAAGTCTCGAACTATTACTGTGGAATTGTCTATTTCTTCCTTTAATTCTAACAATTTTTGCTTTGCATATTTTGGGGCTCTATTATTAGGTGCATATATGTTTATAATTGTTACATTTTCTTAAATGTTTTAACATTATGAAATGTCTGTCTCTAGCAACAATTTTTGTCTTAAAAGCCTATTTGGTCTGATATTAGCATAGTCACTCCAACTTGCTTTTGGTTACTATTGGCAGGGAATATCTATTCCATTCCTTTTACTTTGAACCCATTTGTGTCTTTGAATCTAAGCTGTCTCTCTAACAAATAGCATGTAGTTAGATCATCATTTTAAAATATTCATTCTGCCAACCTCTACCAACACTCTCTTAATCAGTGTTTAATCCACGTATATTAATGTTATCATGGGTAAATAACAATTTCTTAAATAAATTTTGTTTTTTTATTTTTTTAAAGATTTTTTATTTATTCATGAGAGAGACAGAGAGGGGGGCAGACACACAGGCAGAGGAAGAAGCAAGCTCCATGCAGGGATCCCAATCCCAGTGTGGGACTCGATCCTGGGTCTCCAGGATAACGCCCCGGGCTAAAGGCAGTGCTAAACCGCTGAGCCACCGGAGCTGCCCAAATTTTATGTTTTAGAGAGTTTTAAGTTCACAGCAAAGGTAAACAGAAAGTATAGGGATCCCTGGGTGGTGCAGTGGTTTAGCGCCTGCCTTTGGCCCAGAGTGCGATCCTGGAGACCTGGGATCGAATCCCACGTCGGGCTCCCGGTGCATGGAGCCTGCTTCTCCCTCTGTGTCTCTGCCTCTGTGTGTGTGTGTGTGACTATCATAAATAAATAAAAATTAAAAAATAAAATAAAAAAAGTATAGATATTTCCCAGACACTCCCTGTCCCCACACATGCACAACCTCCCACACTATTAACATCCCACACCACAGTAGTAACATTTGTTACAAAATCTAAACCTATACTTACACATCATTATCAAAGTTCACAGTTTACATTAGGTTCCCTCTTGATGGTGTACATTCTGTGAGTTTTGATGAATGTATAAAGACATGTATCCACCATTGCAGTATGACCAAAATAGTGTCACTGTACTAAAAATCCTTGGTAGTCTACCTATTCATCATTCCTTTCCCCTTTTACCCCTCCCACAACCACTATCTTTTTCTTGTCTCCATATTTCTCCCTTTTCCAGAATGTCTTATCTTTGGAACCATACA